TCAGGGAAGGGAAGGGAAGGGAAGGGAAGGGAAGGGAAGGGAAGGGAAGGGAAGGGAAGGGAAGGGTTCTCCGCCGGGCAGGACAGCCGGCATCGCCCGGCACCCTGCGGGTGGGACTGCCCGCTCTGCCCCGGCGCTCACCTGTAGGCGCTGAGCAGCGCCTTGTTGACCAGCAGGGTGAGGAAGGAGCACGTCCCGTAGAAGAGCGCCGAGAGCACCCTGGCGAGTGCCGGGGACGCGGCGGCGGCGTCCGCCTCCTCCTCCTCCGCGGCCAGCCCGGCGCTCATGGCGGCGAGCAGGGCCGCACCGCGGGCCTGCCCCGGGCTGGCCGTGGGGACACCGCTGCTCCTCCTCCTCCTCCTCCTCCTCCTCCTCCTCCTCCGCCTCCCCGCGGGTCCGGGCGCGGCGGCCCCGCGGGCGGCCCCGGAGCGGCGCCGCGCAGCCCCTCGCCTGCGGGGGGCGCTGCCGCCGCCGCGGCGCCTCAGCCGCGCGGCCCGCGGGGCTCGGCGGCAGCGCCCGGTGTAAACTCAATTTCGGGGTACAGGGCTCCGCCTCGGCAGCGCCCGGGCGGCAGCCCGGTCCCAGAGAGCCCGGCCGAGCTGTTCAACCGGGCCGGGGCAGCCCGGGGCAGCCCGGGGCCTCCCCCGCGGCAGGACACCGCCGCAGCCGCCCTCAGCACCCGCAGGGCTCGGCCTGGGCTTGGCGCGGGGCGACGGACTCTCACAAGTTCCTGGAACTAAACAATTTGCCTCGGGTGGTTTAACTTGTGTCAGATTTATAAATATGCACATTATTATACTGCAACGAGTCAGAAAAGAGGAAGAGGCTGAGTATGTAATAATTACCAAACAGCACACATTAAACCTGGAAATTAAAATCAAACTTTTATTCAAAGCATCTATTAGAATGACAGCACATCAAGTCTTCTGCTTTTAACTCATGCCACACAACACCTTCAATCTTTCAAAGCACCAAACGATTTCTTGTATGTAATCACTTACAAAAATGAAAAGCACATCTCATCTTTGCTTTTTTTAACTTGGTATTTTACCCAAAACTTGTCATGATCCAAAACTGCTTCAGCTGTCTGAATTTTGTCTGGCAAAGTACAATCCAGTGTACTTGTCATACTTCAAAGACCTGAGGAAATATTCTGGCTGACTGAAAAAAGAAATTTGAAAACCTCAAACCTAAAAAAAACCACCCCCCCCCCCAAAAAAAACCCCAAAACAACAACAAAAAAAACCCAAAAAAAACCAAAAAAAAAACCACAACAAAAAAACCCACACAAAAAAACACAAACAAACAAACAAACAAATCAACCAACCACCAAAAAACAAACCAACAAAAAAAACACACACAAAAAAACCAAACAAAAAACCCCAAAACCCGACCAAAAACCCACAATCAATCCTGATGAAGTAGTATTCCAGTCTGCAGGTGGCTGGTAATTACAGTCTTCTGTCCTATGAAATACTCAGGAGCAATTGTGAGTTATGATTCAGAATTACAAGATGTATATTCAGGGCTCATTTTGGGATCAGACTATTCACATGAAGCCAGATGAACAGTCCAGAAGCACTTAATATTTTTTAGAAATCGAAAACCTACATATATTAATGAATTACCAGTTTTATGTAGGCAAAGAAGCCTTGTATGACTAGTGTTCCCTATTTTTTTCAGAAGCTGAAGCAGAAGTTAAACCGTATCACTGGTGCAAAACTATTTACAAACAATGAAAGACACTTTATTTTTTTAAATTATTCAATTACTTTTTAGTTAAGTGCATCAACACAGGATTTAAATAAACTGGGTTAATGAGATTTTCAACCACAAAAGGTTATCAGAGAACATACTTCAACAGCTGCAGTTTCTGACGTAAAAGCACTCTACTTTTCTGGTACAGCTGTATGCATCTGGTCAGCCTACATCAAGTGATTGACGAAATGTTTTCTTCCTTTTCAGTTCAAGTGAGAGGGAAAGAGGCTCCCCTTCTCATCTGAATTTCCTGACTTCCAATGAGAGGAAGAAGTTAAAGCAAGCAGGTCAGTAAATACACATTATTAATATCCCCTTAAGCAGTAGCTTAACAACAACCAACAACAAAACCACACACAAAAGTCCTATCTGAAAACAAAGTTTTGTTAGCATATGAGGAATCTCTGGCTGCCTTCAAAGCAAAATATAGTAAAAGATCACCATGAGACAATGCTACTGAAAGTACATAACATTCACAAAGTGACAAGATACCCTGTTAAACATTTTGTATCATCATTTATAGCATCTGAGTACTAGGCAGCATTCTGCAACTTCATTTATTTGGGAAATGTATGAAATCACACTGTTAACACACTTGTAACTACCTTTGGAAGCCTATTTTCTAATTGTATAGTGAATACTTTTCAGCAGTGTTTACTTTATAGCTGTGCTATGGTTAGTGAACAAAAAATTGGCATGTTATGCTGGAGTAAAGCAGTAAGGTGGCTTTATGCACAGTAAGTATGGAGGCTTCTATTTGCTAATCATTATAAAAGCAATACTTTAAAACTTAGTGTTTGCTAATAGAAGACCTAGAATAGTTTACTACAAACTCATACCACCCTGTAAATAACCCCTTTACTAACAAAATCAAGTGCCAAATCACTACAGGGCCCAAAACACCTGAAAAAATATTACCAGTTCTTTACCTTTTAGAAGACTTTGCAAGACTAATCATTTTCAGATAAAACAATGTGCAAAACTTCCCAACTACACATGTTAGGAATAACAAGTGCTACCAAGAGATTCTGCTGAAATCAAATTTAAAAAATGTGAAGCAGCAAAGTCAAGCCTCATACCTTGGGCAGTCACAGTGAAGATATTCCCTGCATGAAGCATTTTCTTTCCCTGTACAACTTGAGATAACTAACCTCTGCCCTTTGCCTTGGAGATGCTAGGTAAAGACATACAGACATTAGAAAAACAGGATTTCATTGCTGTTTAACAATATCCCCAGACTCATCACTTTGCTAGATAGTCAGATAACTACTTTTTTGTCAGCCTTCTTTGGCCACATGTACCATCCTGCTAATCGCGAACACTTTGTTCAGAAAAATGTTTCCTGTGAAATCTGCTTCAGATAAATGAGTTAACCTTGCAAAATCTAGCCTCCCATGACACATAAATTTGTCAACCCTGCCTTATGCAGTCCCATATTTACAAAATACTTAGAAATTTTACATCCGTCTTCTACTCTATCAAAAGTGCAATTCTCTCACCCCATGTTACGGGGCAACAACATTCTTCATAAATTCTACAGAATAGCAGCCTATTATAAGCAAGTAAGGTGCTTAGCTTATGCTTGGGATCTAACTGGTTAAGTAACACCAGAAAGTACATTTTTTATGGGCAGAGACTGCTCCTATCTACTGTCGCAGGGGTGCCACAGCTAAGTTTGCCAGCTCAATGAGTGCCAGCGCGCCATGCATGCGTTCACGCTGCTCCTGGAGACGATGGTGACGGGCAGCTGAATGAGCGCTGTTTTTCTCTTCATCATCCTCTTCATCAGACTGAAGATACTCCATTGGGTCCTGCTGTTCCTGATCTGTTTTCTGAATTGCTTTGGTCTTCAAAGCAGGAGCACGCTGCTCTCTAGTCTCCCAGTACCTGTAATGTCAAACATGAGGAATACTTGTAAAATACATACAATTGACTTGCACACCAACAATTCAAAACGGGCAAAAACTTCCCAAGTATTAGCTTACAATCAACTGGGCACTGCACTTGGCTTTACCTTTCAGCCCTTATATGGTAGTATTTAAGCTGTCAGAAACCTTTATTCAGTATTTTAAGTGTAAAGTGCCCAAGTGAACATCTGTGACAGATTTCTTGTCTCCACGCTGTTCTCAGCAGGCATTTCTTTCTAGGCATATGGTAACCCTCATACAAATGCAAATTCAGTAAAACTGTAGCACCATCTAATGAAGTATTAGCAGGTGTTGATCAAGCTAAAAAAAGTATTTAATCAGAGACCAAACACAAAACAAAACAAAACTGTAAGAAAAAAGTATCATAAGTAACTTTGTCTTGACCAGGAGTTCATGATTCTTCAAGGAGAAGCAAGGCTGTACTGATGTGTACTGGAAGAACATCTAGTTTTGCTTTCTTGGGGTTTAACTATTCCAAAAAATAAATGGTGTGTCAGACCACTCTTTTAAATATTTTGAGAAAGATGACACCATGAGGGAACTTACTTCGCTAGCCACTCGGCCACAGCTTTATTGTCGGCCGTTTCCTTCTTACTCAGCCTGTCTGTGAGCTCTTCCCTCTTCAGTCTGGCGTAGGGATGTTTGGGACAATGACGGTTTGCATGTGTGAATCTGCTTAAACAGCCTTAAAAAAACACAGAGTGACAATGAAGAACATGTTGCAGAAAGCAGCCAACCAAAGAAAGTGTAACATCTGTGGGATGGAAATGCCACTGAATCCATCCTTTACCATTCACAAAAATCTAGGTTTGGTTGAAAACCAAATGCTCTCAGTTCGTAACATGCTGCATTAATTTTATACATTAGTATCCACGGAGAATGTATGCATGCAATCCTTACATACATACCTGCAGAATTAAGCAGATTCTGCATGGCTCTTCCCTTCCCTAAAATTTCCACCAAATTTAAACTCCAAAGCTTTTGCCTTGTGAACACACATACATTCCCAATATCAGTCTGACCCCAGAAAGCTGCAAATCGTTCTCTGATGACTTACCATTCTCTGAGCAGACAAAAGGCTTCTCTCCTGTATGGAGACGCTGGTGAGTTTTGAGCTGCCCACTCTGTACAAAGGCTTTCCCACAATCTGGGTAGTCACATAAATAAGGCCTTTCACCTAAAAGTAGTAACAGAAGAGATTTATGAAAGATGACTAGGAGTGTCATAGTATCCAGTGGTGACTTTTCTTTATCGTATTTTATGGTTTAAGACTCTTAGATAGCATTACCTAAGTTGTGTGAAACTGCAGATATAGACCAAGAAATATGGACAAGTAATTGGATAAGTAATGTAATTCAGGTTGTAACAAGAAAAATTTTATCCTTACCATAGCCTGAACTGGGATGAAATACCTGAGGTCAACATTACTACAAGATTATACAAATGTCTCATATCTCATGTTGTAGAAAAGTTATAATGATGGAGACTACATGAGAAACTTATTCCAGATTTAAGTTTTCTTAAATCAATCATCAATGAAGAGTTCTCCATGCAAACTGCAACCAGAAGAACAAAGGTAGCAGGTGTCTCCTTCCTCAAGTACATCTGAACTGCACACACTACACAAAGGTATGCCAATACCACCACCCTTAGGAAGGCAACAAAATGAGGGTGAGTCTGGCTCACTAATTCAGAGGAATGACAGGGTAAGCTCTACTCAGTTAAGTAGTTCTTACAAGTTCAACACATTGTAGGACTGAGTGAAATAACATTATTTTGACCAAAAAATGAGCACTGCTGCTGTTTAGTATTATCTAGATTAGTCATAGTGACCAGAGGCAAAAGCAGATGGTGAGAGCCAAGGCTTTTGTGGGATTTTGTTTGGTTGGTTTGGGGGAAGTGCTGGTGGTTGTGTCTGTATTATGAGCTACATTTGTTCATATTTTATGGCAAACACAGTGTTCTGTTGAAGAAATAGAATGTATTTGCTTTGTTTTAAAATCTTAAACAGCATCTTCAGTTTAAGCTCAGCTGAGTATTGAGTGAGTTCATCATAAATTTTAACTTAACTGAAAATCACCTTCTAAATACAATTCAGTAAATGCACACTAAAAAATTAATTTTAGGTGGTGGGAAAAATCAACTGGGTGGTGATTTTAAGTATGTGGACTCTTCTCTCATTCTTCTCAATATTTAAGCACACTTCCAAGGATGTGACAATCCACTGTTGCCACTTTCTCGGTTACTATAACCTCTACAGCAAAACTTCAATTGTGATGTGAAAAATACATCAGCAAAGAGGAAACAAATCACAGAGAAGACGCAATCAGGATAGAAAGTGCTGCAAAGCTGAAGTACAGAGCACCAAGCCCAAGACTTGTTCTTTTTCTTACAAAGTGAGTCTGTGACATCGACAGATAAAATGTTTACACAGTGTGACTATACTATTATAGTCCAAATTGCTGCTACACTTCCCCAAAACAAATATGTTTACAAAGCCTTTGATTGGCTAAAAAGCACTGGGAGCAAAGTATGGTTAATTTAGCAGTCACAATAAAATCATTACAGGTCAAGTTCTTTCATAACTTCATGTTTGTTTGGGGGGGGATTTAATTCTTTTGTTTGTGCTTCCTAGTTGGCTCTCCCCAGCTATTCACACACTCGTTTTACTCACCAGTGTGAGTTCGTTTATGGGCTTGCAGTGACTTCTCTCGTGGGAAGACCCTGTTGCAAATATTGCAACGTATCCTGCTGGAAGAGTGCTCTCCTTCACTGATCAGGTCTCGGACAGTGTCTGCTCTTGGACGGCCACGTCTTATTCCATCCTGGGTGTAAATAATGAGGCAACTAAACTCAGGCACTTCCTCCCCCCGCCGCAGTTTGGCCGACTGGCACAGCATCCCCTGGAGCAATGGCATGACCCAGGACGGTGCTGTGACAGCAGAGAGCCACACCAGACTGTGCCCTGCCCATTCCTAAGGGCCCGGTGCAGGAGGGGAGATGACAGGCACGACCACTCAGGGGTGTGGGGAGAAAGTGACATCAGGATCACAGAATGGGTCAGGGTGAAAGGGACCACAGTGGGGCATCTGCTCCAACCTGCCTGCTCAGTCATTAGAGAGCACATGGCACAAGACTGTGTCCAGACAGTTCTTGAGTATCTGCAGTGACACAGAGTCCAAAACCGCCCTGGGCAACCTCTGCCAGTGCTTGGTCACCAACATATAAAGAAATTCCTCCTCATATTGAGGTGGAACTTCCTGTGTATCAGTTTTTGCCTACTGCCTTTTTTCCTACAGCTTGTCACAAGCAGATCCTGGCTCCATTCTCTTGGCACCCTTGTAAGATACTCATACCCATTAATAAAGTCATCTCAGTCGTCTCTACTTGAGTGTGAACAGGTCCAGCTCCCGCAGCCTTTCCTCATAAAATAAATGCTCCGGTCCCTGAATAATCTTTGTTGTCCTACACTGGACTCACTCCGGGAGCTCCATGTCTCTCTTGTACTGAGGAACCCAGAACGGGACAAACGGTTTTTTTTCTCCGATGGCGAGGGTGGTTTTTTTAGGTTTATTTTTTTACTCTCTGAAGGCGGGAGGACAGCGAGCCGCTCCGCCCCCCGCGGCGCGCGCGCCGCTGCCGGAAGTGACTTCACTTTAAATGCCCGGGCGGAAGCGCGGGCGGGGCGCGCGCCGCGGAGTCACCCCGTGCGCGCGCGGCCCGCCCGCCCCCGCCCGCCGCGCCCTCACCTTCAGGTGCCGGTGCCGGGCGCCGCTCCCCGGGCTCCCCGCCTTCTCCTCGTCCCCGCCGGGGACTCTGCCCGCTCCCCCGCGGGGCGGCGGCAGGGCTGACGGGCCGGCGGTGCTGTCGCCGCCGCCGGGACTGAGGGTCACGTTGTGCGCGTTCTCGCCCCAGCGCCAGGGGTAGACCATGAAGTCGCTGAAGCCCGGGCTGGTGGGGACGGGCGGGACGGGCATCGGCTCCTCTCCTCCACTCCCCCGCGAGGAGGGTTTAATCGGGGTGGTTTTGATAACGGAGACCAGGACGCGCTTCGGGGAGTCCTGGCAAAAAATCACCGGGGGAGGTCCCGGCGGGAGCCGCTCCGCCATCGCCGAACCCTCGCGGGCAGCGGCGGAGGGAGCGCGTAGAGAGGGAAAGGAGAGCGCTCCGCCGCGGCACGGCCCCGCTCTCCGCGCCCGTGTCCCGGAATGGGCTGTGCAGCTGCACGGAGGTCCCGCCGCCGTCGCCACCTGTCGCCGCCCGGGCTCGCCTCAGCCGCTCATCACTGAGGACGGCGGCTCCCTGCGTCTCGGTGGCTCGCCCGCCGCACCCCTCCGCCTCCGCGGCCACCCCCGAGCGGATCCCCCAAGTCAGCGGCGACCCCCGGCCATGGCAGCGGCCGGAGCGAAGCAGTCACAGCGTCCCCGCACCTTTCCGAAGCGAAGCCGGCCCCGCTGGCAGCCCTGGTCGCGGCGATGCCCGAGGAGGAGCCGGCGCTGCCGCCGCGGTAGCTCCGCGCTCGCAGCCCGGGCCGAGCCCCAGGTTTTCCCGCGTTACGTTTCGCGCCCGAGCGCAGCCAATCACCCGGCCGGCGCGAGTGTCACGGGGAGTCTGTTCCCGCCGGCCAACCGCTGGGCGGGAAAGGCGGCGGCCGCGCCTCTGTGGGCGGGGCCTGAGGGCGAGGCCGTGCAGCTGCTGCCATTCTATTGGGCAGGAGCCGGGCCCACGAGCGCGGAGGAGGCGCTGATTGGCCGCGCCGCGGCGGGGGCGGGTGGAGGCAGGGGTGGTGCGCCCGGGCAGGTTTGGCGCGCTGCGGCTGTGGGCGGGCTGCGTGGGCCAATCCCGTGGCGGCGCAGCGGAGTTGGCGCGCCCGGCGGCTTAAAGGGGTCGGCTGGCGGTGGGACAGTCGTGGCTGCCTTTCCCTTTCGTGGGGCGGGGGGAAGCTCTTTCCTTTCGCCTGCTGGGCGGACAGAGCTGCGAGCGAGCTTGCGGGCGAGGAGGGTTCCTCAGTGCGAGCCGCCGCCTCCGCGGGCATCGTGGGGCGGGCGGGGTCGGGCCAGCGCGGCCGTTATGGCGGCGGCGGGGCCGCCCGGGACACGCCCGGTTTAGCGGCAGTGCCCGTGGCAGCTGCACGGCTACATGAAATTACCGTGTCGCCTCCTGCATACTTCTCACAGCCCCGGGACGGGGCTGTGAGAAGTATGCAGGAGGCGGCACGGTAATTTCAGGAGGTTCTTAAGGCATGGGGTATTTTCAGAGGATGGTGCCAGATTATTCAGTGGTACCCAGCGATAGCATGAGGACCATTAGCCCTAAGCTGAAACGTAAGAAGCTTCACCTCCGCATGAGGAACAGCTTCATTCATTTGAGTGTGGTAGAGAAGTAAAACGTAAGGAGTTTCTCCGCAAAATGAGGCTACTCCAGTGTGAGAACATAACTTGCATGTGTTACATTAGTAGCTAAATTTTGATGCCGGTACCAGGAGCACAGAGAAGGCACGGAGATGTAAGAATGGTGAAGTTTTTTTTCCCAGGTCTATTTTGTTCACAATTCCTATGCTGCAGACTGCTGCCCTGTAACAGTAACCAACATCACGACTGACAGGAACAGGAAAGTGCAGGGAAGAGCAGATTTGCAGCATATGGCTACTACTTAATGCCCTTTTGGATAATGGGAAAAGCCTACCAGTTCTTGTAATGCAGAGGCTATAATACGGGGCTGCAGCATTCCTTATCCATCCTGAGATCAGCTGCCCTTTCATTATTAATTACAGTTGAGTTTGCTTCGACTATCTTTTCAACTAACTAAAAATCCTCAAATGTTTGCTTAGGCAAATTCTTGTTCGTTGTTGTGCTATCCCAGTTTCTCAAAGTCAGTGTTACATGTCAAAATCCTACCATTACTATGCAAGGTCAGGCTTTGCTTACCAGGCCAGAAAGAAAATACTGCAGATTATAGCATTTATTTCCAAAATGAGCAAATAGGTTTCCACATGCTTGGATCTGACCCCCTTAAAAACCTTTGGTCCTAAAAATAGCCCACAATAAATAGTTCTGGTAATAAATACAATGATGTTGTAGAGGAGTAGTAATAAAGAAAAATGTTAAAATCTACTTTTAAATGTGAAAAAAGGGGGAAAATTATTTATGTTAAAATAATTGCACCCAAAACCAAACTGCAAATACTTTTCATAGCTTTCCAAAACTATCTCTAAATCTGAAGCCTGATGCTTCAGATAGTACATTTAGCTGCTAAAGAACTCCAGTGATGGATGGAGTTAACATTGTAAACTGGTATACAGGACTGTAGATATTGGAAATGGTGCAGTGCATTGTGAGCAACTGAATATGTCTATATTTAACCCATGCTGCCCCAATGTACACATGTTTTGTGATGACTTTCAAGGGCCTGGCAGCAGATTAATTTATTTATGTGGATCTTGTAAATTTTTCTAATGCCAACAAATAGAATTTTGTTACTAGAGGCAGCACAAGAGTAGGAAGAAGTTAGTTGATGCCACATCTGTTATTTTAACTGTTCTGAACAATAGTGTTTAATGTTGTAATAGCCATAACCAAAGAGAAGCAAACTTTTTCTCCAGATCCTGCCACTGGAAGAGAAAATGTGCATATAGAATGTACTTGGCCTAGAGGGCTTAAAACACACTGCTTTTCAGTACATGGTCATGGGTATTGTGATATATTATTTTTAAAAATTCATGTAACATGCAAAACTGGTTCTAAACTAATCATCTGAACTGTAGTGTCTTAGCCATATTAAATATGTTACCTTTAGCACCAGAGTATTTTGATGCTATGCTACTAGCTTAATCTGTGTTGTGGTTTGACCTTGGCAAGCCTCTATCACTTCCCTCTGCAGCTGGACAGAGGAAAAAAAATTTAACAAAAGGTTCATGGGTTGCGATAAGGACTGGGAAAGATCACTCACCAAATAACATCATGGGTAAAACAGGCTCAACTTAAGAGATATGAAATGAATTTATTACTGACAGAATCAGAGCAGGATAATTAGAAGTGAAATAACCCCTTAAAAACAGCTTTCTGTCACCCTTCCTTTCTTCCAGCTCTGCCTCCTACCCCAGCAGTGCAGGGAGACAGGGAATGGGGGTTTGGGCAGTTCATCACCCGAGGCTTCTCAGGGAGGGGAGCTGTTTACCTACTGCACCCTGGGGTCCCACGCATGGGAGACAGAAAAACACACTACCACACTCCTCCTTCTCCACTGACCTTGGTGTCTGCAAAGTTGTTCCTCTCACGCGTTCTCACCCTACTCTTCTCTGGCCACAATTACATCTGCATAAGACCTTTTTTTCTTTCATCTTAAATCTGTTATCACAGCAGTGTTACCAGCATTTCTGACTGGCCCAGCCTTGGCCAGCGGCATGTCCGTATTGGAGCCACCAGGGATTATCTCTGCTGGACATGGAGGAAATTTCCAGCAGCTTCTCACAGAAGCCATCCCTGTAGCCCACCCCCCTCCAAAGCTTGCCCTTGCAAACCCAATTCAATGCATTAAAGCATTACTGTTTTAGTGTAGAAACAAGAAAAAGTTCTCTATGAGAGTTAAAGGACCAAAATAATTAATCGTGATACAACCTACAGTCAGATCAAATCCTGCCTATTACAACAAAGCGTACATTTTATCACACATGAGATAAGACTGGAATTGTAAAAGGATAGGGAGCAAGTATTCAAGAGAAAGCAGGAAAAATATCTGTGTTCTATTTAGCTTGTTAGATTCAAGACGGAACTGACAACTATGGAGTTTGAGGATAGAAACTCCATAATAAAAGGACATAAATTCCAGAGATAAAAGCAACTAACTCTGAAACGGAACAAAACATGACAAATAAAGATGAAAATATGTATTCTACATCTTTAAAGCATGCACTTTAGATTATGGACTTACGGTAGATAATAGCAAACAATCACACTGCATGTAATTTTATTGTTATTATGTTGTAATATGGACTTATGTAAAACCTTTGCAATGGTAATAATATCTTTAATGTAAGTCTTTATTATTGTGTTTTTCAAGTTTCCGGATTCCCTGTCTGAGCATTGAGATTCCACTCTAGAAATAACATTCACAACCCGTGAGACTTTCACTGCTGGGACTGAGATCACTTTGCAGTGGGTGGCTGCAGTGACCTGGTGGGTGCCCCATTTGAATCCCTGCGCACACCATACTCACACTGTCATACAAGCTTCCTTTGCTGTCTTGACCCCACGTTTCCCACAGCAGTGTCCCAGATGCTGGGTTCCTGGAAGTATTTTGATCATGATGCAGCAGCTCGGTAGGAGCATGTGCTGTTTCTCAGGAATCCCTGGGCTTTTACACCCTTATGATCTATGTGGCCACCCTTCATGCCCCTTGCACTTGCCTCTTGGTCCAATGGTGATATTTTGGCTGAGGTCTTCTCCTTGCTGATTGGGTCCTGCAGAGTCTCTAGGTGACTGGCCACCGCCACCCCTACCACCTAGCACCACAGGTCTCTGTGCCCTTTGTTAGCAGAAGGTCAGTGCCTGTTCCTGACTTATTTGTTGGGGTTCCAACTATTTGCTGCCAGCCAGGGCGCAATGTCCAGCTCACACACAAAGCTCTTAGCATTAGGTGTACTCCTTTATAAGCATGTCCATCTTTAGTGATGCAGCTCTTTTTTGGCTTAAGACTTCAGGTAGTCAATTTTGCTTAGTAGAATTGTGTTGCTGGATGCGATAGCTAGATCCACAGTGTTACTCTCTTTACCTGTTCTGGTGCCCTGTCCCAGAATGGCACCTTGAGCCATGTGATTATGGATATTCTCAGTTCAGAGAGAAAATGAGAGGTTTCTGCCAGGCTAGGCCTGGGAAAGAGTTTCAAAGGAATGTAAATAATTCTCTGTCTCTCTTGTTGTTCACATTGTTTATAGATGTGTTCTACCACTGTGTGTCATTCAGCACATGCCAGTGATCTGAGATGTTTTTACTTTAAGACCAATGAAATTGGTCTGCACGATGTTCCCTATAGAAAGAGCAGTGTATTTTAAATAAATCAGTTTGCTTCTTGTCTTCTGAATTGCAGTCTTTTTGTTCCTGTCTTGCCTCAACAGCGACATGTGATGTGTTCAGGATGTGTTTCCCTCAGGCAGGAGAGATGTGGCACTAGAAAATGAAATGTCCAGGGATAAGAATGTGTCTGTACAAAAGGTCAAGGATGGGATGACCCTTGCTGGTGATTAGGTACTTAGATGCAATGGTCAGAGAAACACCAATCATCATTCTCAATTCTGTCTCTTGTAATTAGGCACTTTTGCACCTTTAAAAAAAAAAGGAAAAAAATAAGCAAGGGCTGTTTTGGTAAAGATGCCATATCCCATATCTACACCTGCTAGGCAACATTGTGTAGGGTGCCCTTCTGTGTGAAAAATCCACTTGTGGGGAGAATGTGGAGCAGCCACTTAGGTAGGCAGCCCTCATCTTCACTTAACATGAGTCATCTGTTGTCAGAAAGGTTATGCCTTGTACTACAGCTATGAGATTTAGTCTTGCAAATATGTAATCATGCTGAAGCCATCACTATTAATTTTTGGTATAAAATTCCAGACAGAGCATTTGGTTACACTTTGACATTAAAATTCAGGTTTTCGTTCTTTCTCCATTGTTTGTGTAAGTATGTAACTCGACAATCACACACTGATTGCACATAGCGAAAAGCTGTGAAAGGAATGAGAGGGAGTTTTTACAAACAAACTGTGGGCCTGCTGGTAGATAGAGCCAGGTACTGATAGGTGAAAGAAGCAATAGTAGAAACCATAAATTCCGGAGGACTGTTACTCACCCAAGGCCACGCTAAATTCCTGGAGTTAGAGAAAAAGAACAGAGAAACAAAGAAAAGGGAAGTGGGGGGAGGATTCTCATTAGAAGAGGGTCTGTATTAGGTGATTTGGGAAGTCTGTACCTCTCAGGTACCTAAGACAATAGGGAAAGAGAGAAGGAAATGGGGCTGAGGAATTAGGATAAAAAGGAGGATGCATCCCCCAGCAATTCTCCTTTTATTCTTGAAAAAGCTATGGGACTCCATAGCTGGAGTAAAAACCTCTGGCATTTTGGATTAATTTTCCTGACAGCTGCAAGCTAAAAAGGGATTGAAAAGTACTTTCATTTGTCATGCAAGACTTTTAATCAGATTGGAGGTTGGAATCTCTTACAGAAGTTTTTTTTTTTTGATTGACAACTCAGAACATCAGAAAACTAAGGATTTTTCTAAATATTTACATTCATTTTAGGAATCAAAATTATACATATAAAGACAATATATATTTATAGCAAACACTGGTTTTGGCTGTCGTTGTGGAATCTCTCTGAGCAGTCTTTTTTTTCTCCTTTGAGTCTTCACAAAAAAAGGCCCATGGAACACCAAATCTCTAATCTTACTGCTGAAATATATCTGAATTCCTCATAGTCATCCTTCTCCAAAGATGCTGTGACCTTCAAAGTACCTATTAAAGCTGCAAGGACATTATAGTCAGTAATAGCACTGACCAGTGATGGTTGTCTGTTATCTTTCATATACAGCATAACCTTGATTCAAACTTGTAGAATATTGAAATAAAAATATCTCTAAAATTTCTAAAAAACGTTCTGGATACAATGTGTGCTGAGGAAATCTAGTGTAGATGCTGCAATTGATACCAAAATGCTCCAAAGAATCTGCAAATATTTGGTGATATTTTTAATATGCTGTAGTAATGTGATGTTGTTAATGTCTTTCTCCAGATTAGTACAGGACAACATACCTTTCCAGTTCCTTCTTCACAGTAAAAAAACAGGAAATTTAATCCTTCTAAAAAATAAACCAACAATTCAGAGGAAAGGACAGTTGATTAAGCGAACACTTCTTACAAAGTATTTTATTCCTTTATCATATTATTGAAAATTTCTTCATGAATTTTTCTTAATTATGGATAGCTACATTTTACAATATAAGAACTGTGCAGGAATAATGATATTTTTGCTTTGTTGACTTATATTTTTCTGCTTTTGATTTGAAACATTTCAGAGCCTGAGAGATTTGACTCCCACTACCAGGATTTTGTAAAGATCTTTGCAGGCAGATAATTGCCTGAAGTTACTGTCATTATTTCCATGCAAAACAGTTTGTGATCTCTTGAATGAAATTGAAACTTGAAAGGGCACTAAGACCAATTAAATTAGTTTTCTTCTGCAGTAAGCATGCCTGCAAAAGGGGGTCTACATGAGAGCCAGGAGAGATGCAATGATTATATTCAAAGCTTGGAATAATCTGTAGAGGATACACCTTATTTTGTTTTACAGTGGTGTCCACAGACTTAGCAGCATCCAAAAACGAAGAGAGAACAGGGCTGTCTTTAATCCTGCCTTTCAAAACATAGCAAGAATTTTGATACAGTTTCAACTTACCGTAATAAGGATAAAATTAATTTCAAAAGAAGGTGGTATATACAGTGAAGCTATCATGATAGAGGAAATGTTAGTTTCACATGAACGACTGGAATAAAGACAGCCTCATCACAAAAATCAAGACTGCAATCGCCATTCTTTGGGCAATTGTGGCTGAAGGGCTAAGATTTTGTTGTCACTGTGGCTGATAAAAGAGAGAAGCGCCCGCCCGCAATATCAGTGCCCAGAAAAATATCATTTTTCCTCTGCGGAAAAATGCCTTGATGAGTCTCCTGGCATGTCACTATTAGTCATATTTATTGAGACATTTTTATTTTGAGGCAGCAAAAGTAGGCCCAGAACAGTGAGCAGCTGACAAGGCGTGCTGCACTAAAACCCGTCACCACGGCGGCTTAGTGACGGATGGGAGCCCCATCCCGGGTTTCGCTGGACGGAGCGGGGCTACCCTGGGGAACTCCCAGCGCAGGGAGCGCCTCTTTCGTTGGTGTCACTTGTCAGAGGATGCAGGTTGTACCAAAAGACCCGCGGCGACACCGCTGTGCCGGCGCCACGCTCGAACCGCGGCCGCCACACAGCGTCCCCGCACGGGGCGCAGCCGGGGCGGCGGGCCGCGCACCAGACGAATAACAGAGCGGCGCACCGCATTGGTCAGCGTGTGTGATTGACAGCTGCGACCCTGCGCGGTAATTGGCCGCAGCTGGGCACAAGGGGCGGGGTGAGGCGGAGCTCGGCGCCGGGATTGGCCGATCTGTTGCTCGCGGTCGCGCGTGCCGGCTGTGGGCGGGCTCGGCCGCGCTTAAAGGCGGCGGGTGCGCTGTGGGAGCGCTGGGGAGCTCCATTGGCTGCAGCGGCCTGGCCGGGGCGGGGCCGCGCCAAGGTGCGGCGGGGCCGGGCCGGCGCTGCCGCCGCTCTCGCCCGGCGGTGCGTGCTGTCGTTTCGGCCCCGCGCCGAAACAACCTCGGGGGGCAGGGGGCAGGGGGGCGGTCGGGGGAGGCGAGGCGGCCGCGCGGATTATGACGGGGCTGCTGGGCAGCCCGGTGAGTGCCGTCATGCAGGAGAGCATCGCGTGCTCCGTCGCCAATCGCTTCTGCTACCTCCTGGACGACGCGTCGGACCCGTTCGACGTCCTGCGCGAGGTCGAGCGCCTCCGGCCGCAGCGGAAGAAGCGCGGCGAGGCGGCGGCCGGCGGCGGGAGAGCCGTGCCCGGCGGCCGGGCGGGCGGCGGCAGGAGGGAGCCGCAGAAGGAGCCCCAGAGGGAGCGCAAGCAGCCGGGGAGCTGCCCCGCAGCCGCCCCCGCGGCCCCGCCGCAGACAGGTAGGCGGCGGGGCCGCGGCGGCCGGTTCGGGAGGGAGGGAAGCGGTCCCGGCGCCGCGGTGCCCGGTGCGGGTCCCGCGGCGTGGGGGCTCCGCGCTTCGCCGACCTGTCGCAGCCCTGGCGTGGCGGGGGAGCGCTGTCACAGCAGGGATGAAAAATCCTGGCTCGTGGTGGGGTCATTGTGGTGAACGCACATGGAGGTCCCCTCAGAGAAAGCAGTGATGCTTGGGCACGGTCCCGACGCGGTATTGCCGAGCACTCTCTGCCCATAGGGCCTTTGAAGATGTAAATGAAAACTTTAGCAATATCCCCAAGAGACAAGTGCAAGAGTGTCAACTTCGCTGCGGCATCGGCAGCTTTCAAGTTGGTTTAGCAGCCCTGTTGCTGCCTTTCGTTGCTTGTCACCCTGGACAGTATCCTTCAGTGTCTGAAGTTTCCAGGCATGATTTCTTGGTACCTGTGAGTTTTCTGGCCTTTCAGTGTCTCCAGGGATCTGCACTGATTTTGCCTTGATTTGAGCCTTTGAATAAATCTTATTTCCTGGGGTAACTCTTCAGCAGGTGCTCAGGAATGGTCAGCTGATAGGTTCTGATGTGTAATACTGCTTGGGAAAAGAGGGAGTCAGTTGGCTTTGTACTAAAATGTCTGTCACAGTCCTCTTCGCAGCTGGAGGCTTTGTGGGCTATAGCTTCTTGCATTTGGAGCTGATTGCTAGACTTAGTCTGGTTGTTACTACTCACCCGGTATTTAGCTTCAGGTTGCTGGATTCAGTATCAAAAGTATCTTAGAACTGGTGGATTGTTTCCAAATATTGAGAATCTTTTGCGCAGAAGATGTGCAAGGGGTTTACAGCTCAATCCTCTTGAGTTGTAAATTCCTATTCTCCTGCAGGAAAGCAATGAAGCCTAACACATAATCTATTGTTGTTTTCTTCCTCTAGTAAAAGCTCCCGTTAAACTCACAGTAATTGTACTGTGTGTTTTAATGCCCTAGAAGAAGGTCTTTGAATCGAGGTTGTTGCTCCAAGTTATTGCCGGTGCTGCCAATTCTGTTGCTTAGGCTTAGAGTCCTACACTTTAAACAGCAGCACTTACTTGATTCATTTTTAGCAGTTTGTGGAGCAGAGAATCTTTCAATGCTAAATATGTGCTAGGTAGGGAGCACCTTTGTAAAGGAAGATATCAACAAGTAATCACTGTCTTTGTGGGCAGTTATATGAAATTAATCTTTCTCAGATTTCTCTGCAGTTGTGTGACTTAGTCTCCTGAAACTAATGTTTAGACTATAACAGCTTATTTTATTTAAGGTTGCTTTAGTGTGGTTGTCAATGGCAGTTGAAGGAGTCTGTTTAGTGAACAGCAAAATCTCAAGTTCTCATGAAAGAGTCCTTGAACAAGAACTGGTTGGTTATCAGTAACTTACCACGGTAGGATGTGATGCGTGCTATCATGTGAGCATGGTAGTATGTGAAGGCCATCCTTTACCTCCTGCTTGCTGATAAGTGTCTCCATTCTTGGCAATACACAGTGGCCCTGTGATGTGTCTTTGATTATTCTCTGCAAGCTTGGTGTTAAGAAATCTCTTTTCTCATACAGAGACAACAGGCGTGTGCACCTTGTTTTAATTTCCTGATAATTTGAAATGGAGAAAAGACTGCTGACTATAGTACCCTTAGTGAAAGGACATTAAGATCTATTTAAAGAAGAGTTATTTCTCTTCTATATTTAAAAACACACGTTCTTCTTTAAACATAGCATCTCTTTGGGATTTTGTGTGTTTGTCTTGGGCTTGTTAGGAAGTAAAGACTATAAAAGTACAGTGCCTAAGATGTTAAACCAGTGTGGATAGTCAAGACGTGGTCTTGACTGTGTGTTCTTCCTTTGAATGTGCTGTCTTAGCCAAGTCTGCTCTGAATGGCAGAGAACCCTCTGAGTTAGGGTAAATACACAAGTGATGATGTAGCTGATAAATGTTAAGTAAGTGGCATGTTGAGAGAAAAATCTTGCATTTTTTTGGAAGAGAGTGGGTCAGCTCTCTATTGGGGCTGTACAAAGTTGGTTTGTTACATAGGGTTCAAAACTTCTGTATTTTATATAAGATCTCATCTTGACAGTTGAGAATGACCAACCTCTAGGGAACGTCCTTGTACTCTCACAGTTTGTCATGAAGCTTATAATAACAGATGCATTGTTAGAAGAGTGCACCTCTCCTTAGGGAAATATATTGATTAAAATTACTAAGCTGTTAAACTAATTTCTAAACTTTTAGTAAAAAAAAAAAAAAAAAGAAAAACAACATACCAAACTTAAGACTTTGTTTCTAGATTTTCTTTGTGATTTCCCTTCTCTGATTATGGGCATAACTACCTCTAACTTAATTCTACTTATTAGTAATTAAACACCAAAAAATAGCATCTAGACCGATCTGAACAGCAGAATGAGATTCTGGTAGTATTACAGTTGAAATTATAGAATTCACTGTGTTGTACTAGTGTTCTTGGAATCATCACAGAACAAGGTTGAAACGCTATGCTGGAAGGATGGTCTGGTCCAACCTTTCCTAGGAAAGGCAGCCTTCAAGACCCCTCATCTGCTGTCTTGTCCAGTTACAGTTTGAAAGCCTAGTTTGATGGGGGCTTAGCCCTGAGAAGGTTGCTTCAACATAAGGTAGCGCCAGAAAGAACTTCTTAACAAAGATGAACTCTCTTCTTGTGTGACTTGTCCCCACTGTAGCCACTCATTTTCATGTGGCTCCTTGTGAAGAGAGCCTTCAGCCTGATCATCTTCATTAACCCTTTTTTGGATTCCTCCAGACTGTTTTATCTAATTGCTAGAGTATTTGCTTTTATGGACTACAAAACGACTTGTTAAGTTTCATGATTTTTGTTTTATTCTAGTATTATTTCTTAAGCACATTCAATCTGTAAAAAGGGTCTTTAGACTCAAAGCACACCTAGTCTTATATCTTGTAATATATGAAGTTTTACAGTAGTCAGATTTTTTTGTGGTATTTAATGTTTGAATGGAAAGGTTAGTCACAAAGTTCTAGAAGATAGTTTTGTTTTTTTTTTTAATGTAATTCTTCACTGAGTTTTTCAAAGCAGGTTTTACTAAATTTCTAGACATATTTTCAATTTGAAGGAAACCTCCTGAGAGGACTTTGCTAGGTAATGTAATACTTTGACCTTTAGAATCCAAACTATTTATTATGAAATGGCACAACTGTAAGGAGACGACTCTTTACGCTTTGTTTCTTATGGATAAAATGGACTCCTATTTCATTGTCTACCAAAACAAACTTTTGACCTTAAAGCTGTATTTTTTCTCTTCTGCTGACTGTTGTTTTGTGATTTTTAGACTGTATTAGCTGAGGATTTGGGTAAAGGCTGGTTTTTGGTATTGCAGCTCTTGTAATTGCACCACTTGATGTTAACTGAGTTCATTCTTACCACAGTGACCAAACTGCATTTGCCAGCTCTTTATTCAAAAGACCCAGTTGCAGTGCTTGCAACTTTACCAGTCTAGGAAAATTAAATTTGTTGATCATGCAGTAATACTCTCTGTTCTTTTGAAATCTCTAAATCTTTGTTGCTAATACTTCTAAAAGTTTTTTTTTTTTTTCTTTCATATACCTATGATGACTCTGGTAACTTTCATATATAGTTTCTAAATAGTTTGCTTTTGAGTTTCTAGCTTTTCCAGTAGCAAGTTATGTGTACACACTTATTAAAAACATTTCTCTAGAAAGTCATCTAAGTGCTGCAGTGTTAGCAAAACTAATACTAATAGTGAAGTATTGTGGGGAAAGTGAAAACTACTTAACTATATTTGCTGTAAGTATGATCTAGAGTTTTAACAATATCTTGTAAAACTGAGTTTTTTTTTTTAGCACTGTCTAGTTCTAGTACCTGGTAATTTTAGTATTTACAGATTCTTTCCCTCTGATAATAGCTCATCTGCTGCTTCTGGGGAAAAAGCTAGGTCTGTTGAAACACAGATCTCTGCTCTGATTCCTCAGTTTAGAAAGTAAAGTGATAGGCAGCTCAGCCAACAGACTGGGCTGATGCTGTAACAATCCAGGAAAGCCGTGGTGAAGTGGAGAACGGTGGGAGGGACACATATTCAGGTGAATGCAGATTACAGATGTAATTTTAAGACACAGAAAAACAGCTTTAAAGAGAGACTAAACTAGGTAGCTAGGAAAGAGTGATCTTCAGTTTTCAGAATTGTTTGCAAGGCCTCAAGAATGTGATCCACAGAATTCCAGAACTTTTTCTTGGTGTGGTTTTGAAGAAAGCTTGCCTACTAGATTATGTAGACAAGCAAGCAGACAAAATTGGGGTGTATTTGGAGAGGCAATTATTAAGCAAGCCTTCAGAGTGTACCCCAGTTCTTTAATTTATTATGTCAGTGATATACAAGATGGCTTATGCTTTCTCTTTTGTTGCCTTGTTTTATTGTTCCCCAAAGTGTAGGTGGCCCTTGAGCTCTGTGAATCAAACTGAGGACGTACACATCTGTGCTAGGACACACACATAGCAGAGGATTAAGATTGTAGAATTTGTGCTATCACTGCTGCCAAGCTCCAGTTTGGTTTGCACTTACATGCAGAAGTGAAAGTTGAACTGTCTTTTTGAACTGATTCACAAGCAGGTCACTTGAACTTCTTCCCTAAGGGTGACTTCTCCTACTAGAGAGGTACAGGTGTTGCATACTGCCTTGATCCACTACTTATTTCTGTCAAACTATTTCATACAGGTAGTAAGTGTCATAAAAACATCTTTAATTAGTCTTTCTAGTGTTTAAAATCCATCTGCAGTAAATGAAACCACCTGTTAGAATCAAAGTGAAATAGCCTGGTACTCAAATTGGAGTAGAACAGACAGCTCCATCCAGTACACTCAGTGCTGCTGACATGTAATGCACTGACATGTCTAGCAAGAGGACTTGTGTTGAAGTCCTTCTAAGCAGTACTGGGTAATAAAATGAGAAACTTATATTTTTTTGCCATTATTTTGCTAGTTTGAAGGAGCTCTTTGAATCTCAAAGTGAAATTGAGGTTAATACTAAGTACTAGGGATGGATGTGTCTAACTACTGCATTCTTGCCAAAGGAGTCTTTTTATAATAACGATGCTTCTGATGGCCAGCGATAAAGGATCAAAAATTATAACACCATAGTCTTCTATGCATTGTTCTGCATTCAGATCCAAACAAAATCATTAAAATGAGGCCAGAAATTAGTAGAAATTTTTTCCACAGCAAGAGTCCAATTTAGAATTAGTTCTGTAACTTGTGAGCAAAATGAGATTTTTCTTTAGACTATCTTTTCTGGAAATCTATGACTGTGTCAAAACCCATAGTATTTTGCAGGTTCATCAATACAGAAGGTAAAATAAGTATGTGTCTTTCAAAGAAACAGTGTCTGGCAACATTAGCTGTAAGGACTTCTAATATCTTGGTGGACTTGGGTTTGGACAGTGGTTTGGTAACTGCAATTGTGTTACTGTTGAGCTGTCAGTAATCCCTGCTTATGTTTGTGTAGGCTCAAAGGAAGTACCCAAGCAGGGAGAAGAACAAGCGTTCAGTAACAGAGAAACAGAGGGGAGACAGAACAAAACTGAATGGAGAACATATTTCAGGGAATACCGTCCCTATGGAGCACAAAGACAAGTGGAATTCTCAGTGGAACGGTATGTATCCTGCAGAGAGAACTAAGGTCCTGCACAGAGGATCTGTGCATTATTACTGTGCAGGTTTTTTGCAAGACTCCTTGCTTCATGCCTGTCAGAGCTGTAGTTCCAGCTTCCTTGGGGGTTGAATTGGTGGTACATTTTTGTTGAATGTTAGAAATACAAGGCAAAACAGAAAAATGTAAAGTTCTGAAAATGTAACCCCTAGTCAGCAGTGTATTTATAATGTTAGTTTCTGAGCTCACATATCAAGCTTTGCAGAATATGTAGGAGGTTGCAAACGGGAACTTACTGCTTGGACAGTGAATGGATATTGATCTTGCTTTCTTTGTAAATACTAGAATATTCCACCTAAACCCTCAGTGCTTCAGAATGTGACTGTTCTTACTTTATACCTCAATAGTTGATATTTAACAAGTTGTCTGAAATTTTTAGCAGTTGCATATAAATATGGGTTTAGATGGTGGAAATATTACATGATGAAGTGGTAAGGATTTGACAGTTTTAATATGTTTTCTTTAGTTTCTGTAATGTTTTCAGTGTTAATAATTGCTTTTCTTTCTGTTTCTGTGTGCTGTAATAATTCCTCTAGTGTTCAGTTTGTGTGCATTTTCAATAACAAAACCAAAACAAGCTGAAGTGTGTGCTGTAAAAAAATACACTCTATAAATTGTGCTGTAACTGTTATATACTGGTTTGTTCCATAGCTGCACAAACATAACAGTATGAATTTTTTTTCTTCTTGTTAAATGTTCCATAAAAACAAAAGTTCTGACTAATTACCTTCTTCTTAGACCAGTGGAAAGATTAGACTATGAAAGACCAATAAGAGGCCGTGGTGGGGGAAGAGGCAGAATGAGAGGTAGAGGAAGAGGTGGTGGATTAAATGGAAGTTTTGACCAAAGAAGAAAACGAGAACCTGAAAGACAAAGTGGGAATGATAAAACGTAAGTGTTCTGTGTGCTGTTTCTTACTTGGTATACAAGTAACTTACAGTCAGCACTGCAGTGCAGTCTTTTATGTATTCTCTTCCCTTCCATAGCCAGGTTGGCTGGCAAAATGTCAGCACTGGTTTTAGTTTGAGGTCATAAAAAAAGGAAAAATCCTCTTAAACTCATAGAATTGTTTTTCTCTCTAGAGGTGTGAAAGCAGATGACAAAAAGGTATGGGTGGAGCTCGTAACTGCAGAGGCATGTCATATATGTGTGTCCATCATAGATGATAATTTTCTGTGGCCTATGTTAGATCATAATTTTCATCAGTTTCATGTCCCGTTTTGAGCTTTATAAGCATTGCGTTCTCTTATTGTTGTAATCAATGTAATTTTACATTTTTTTAACTTCTTCATGATGGTAAGATTAAATTGAAGCAAAGGAATGATGTTTGTTCACCTAAGACAGCCAGAATCTTTTAACTGGAGCTGAGTTGTCTTTTAATGGAAATAAGTTATTACTTTTTTCAATAGTCAGGTACATGGTACTCTGGTATTTAATGGAATTGCTTCAAAATGCTAGTTCTAAGATTAAAACTCTGTTACTGGGCTTAGTCTTTTCTGGAGTTTTATGGATAGTTTCTAAATTGCAAAACTGTAGTACATTTCAGTGTAGTTCTGAAGGTAATATTGAGTTGACTGTACCATGGAAGTACATTTTAAAGTGCTAGAAAAATCAGTAGAAAAATGTGATTAATGGCCACTTTGAAGTAAAAAAACCTCAGGACTTTTCTGTTCAGTTCTGTATATCTCTTAGGGTACTGATTTCTGTTCAGATTTGTAAAATTTCACTGATTATGTTGGTGTTTGTTCATTCTTTGCACCTAGCAATACATTTATATTTCCAGTAGCTTTTGCTCTCATATACATCTAGAACTCTTTCATTGAAGGCTGATAAAGGATTGAGAAAAAGCAGTGCCTTGAACTTACAGCAAATATATTTGGCCACATACACATGCATTGACAAAATTGTTTTAAAAATAAAATTTTATTTAAAAATAAAATATAATTTTAAAACTTAATGGATTCAGACAATCATGCTAAAAATTTGAAAAATGCTAAAAGTTCAAAAAATATAGCCTTGATGTTTACTAGTTTTTGACTCTTGATATTCCAAATTCTTCTGAAAAATTGTATTAACTTCTCTCCCTCCTACAGAATTTCATATTAAGAGTAGATTGGTTAGGTACCCTGGATTTTCAAAGGATAAGCTAGGTTAACATTGTTCTGAACTGATAGTACAAAACTAGCTTGCAGAAATCTGTGTTCTATAGGACATCAGGGAAGGCTTCATAAACTTAAAATGTATTTATTGGCCCTTACATATTTTCTTCCTAGTTAAGGTTTTTTTTGTTTAGTTTTATTTTCAATTCAATAGTACCAGAACTTAGACCAATGTTTTCCTGTGATGTGGTAGAACTGACACAAAATTAAAGGTCTCTGAAGCAATCTAAGAGCATGTCTGTGTCGTAATTGTGCTAATAATGCATTGAAGCTAAAAGGTGTTAATTTTAAATATGTATGCCTGCTACTGGAATGAAATTAGGTTTCTGCTGTCATTTGACAGTGAATTAAAGTTCACGTTATAGAAAATACAAACTTCAGTTATTTAAAAGAAGTAAAAAGACAACACCAAATGTCAGTGTTATATTGACAACTAATACTAATCATGGTTAGTATTCATGATTAAATTATTTCATCTTCATACATGCTTTATTCCTTTTTGAATTAAATAGGTTTTTTCCCAATATTCCCAAAATATGCTCATTTTGTTAGTTGCTTAGTAGAACTTTTTGCTTATGATCAAAGAGTTTTCTCTTTTTTCTCTTCCTCCACCCCCCCCACCCCCCCGCCTCCTTACCAAGGAATTCTGGTCAAAGAAGTAATGTATTGATTTGTTTTTTTTCCAGTGTGACTCATGAAGACTGTGGTTTTGTTTTGGCTTGTTTGCTTTCTGTTTTAGGGGGAAGGAACAGACTGCATCTGTGGAGGAGACCGTGGAAACTCTTGGACAGCCAGGGACACCTGAAGGACAGCCTCTGAGCAAGTACAGTCAGACAAATATTTTCTTTCTAAATGCAAAGGAAACAATTAACTCTTACTGATGTACTTGTATTGAGGGGCACACTTGAAATGTGAATGGTGAAATTTTGCTAGTGCATTTATTTAAAAATAGAAAAGCTTAGTTTTGTATTTGTGAGTATGGAAGATATATTCCTAATTCCTAAAGCTTGATTTTTACAGTTGAAGATTGCATTTAAATGCACAGTGATGCTTAACTTCCTAGGATTTGGTGATAATTTAAGGAGAAACTGCATACTGTGTTTTACCTTTTTAACTTTTCTAATTTGTAGAAGCTACCATGCTTTTTGATGTTCTTTGACAACAGGTATTTGAGGTGCCCATGCAATTGTACAAACACATTTAAAATACACTGATCTACTATTAAGTTTGTATTCACCAATCAGTAATATCATGTAGATATCATCTATTCGTGAGAGGCCATGGTAGAACTTGGAAAAAATTTCTGAAAATACAGTGATTCTTAGAGTAGAGAAACTGAAAGAGAAGTGTGCCCATTGTGTTCTGGCTTTCATTCTAATTAGTGTCATAGCAAATAAATGAACCCTGGCTTAAGAAAAATAACTGGACAGTCTTGTCTAAGTAAGAGATTTAAAGAAGACTTAAATAGCATGTGGTGTATATCTCCTAATGAGTGAAAGATGTCAGTGCAGTATGTCAACCTCTTCTGTTGCTGTGAAACCTTTTATGCTTCATAAAGCAGCTCCAAATGTTAGTGATATGGGTTCATTTATTAATTATAAAGCTAATTAGAGTACAAAACCTGTTTTATATGTTTTATAGGTTGTTTAAGCCACTAAGAAGTTCAGTTGATAGAACTTAAATTCTTTTGATTTTAAGATAGGTTTTAATATATAGCTAAAGGTGTATACACATGGGGAAATATGTCTTTGAGTGACTTAGGACTGAAAAAATGTTTCTAGGCTAAGTTAAATCAGATGGGCAGTGTAGGTACACTGGCAAAAATGCACTGTATTAGCTAAATATGAAAATAGTTACTCAGCTTTTTAAAAATTTTGATTTTGTCAGTTTCTTGTACCTTTGCTTGTTTCATGCCTGTACTTGTTTCTACTTCAATTCAAGCTCTTTGTAGATATGTCTCAATATCTGTTCATTGTAGAGCTTAAGGCATGAGAAGTGTATATGGTGGAAAAGGCCTCTGTCAGAATTTGCCTATTATCTTTAACTCTTTCATCTTAGAGATCACTAGGTATTCAGTCAGACTGGGAGCCTTCTGGAGATTTTACTCCCATTTGTATTTTTTTTTTGGAAAGATTAATTTAGGTATAGTCCACTGAAATTCAAATTATTCAAAAAAGTAACCTAGAAGTACAAAATTCTGCACTCCTTACTCTTTTCAGGGCAATAAATACTGTCCCAAAGGCTTACAAATCTATATACAAAACATAAGTAACATAAATCTCCCTGTGCTTACCTTTTGTGGGGCTGTCAGCTTGGTGACCCCATGTATTTTAAAACACGAGACATTATGTGAATAGTGCCTAGGTCATTAGGCATGGTTGTATGGCATACACCTTAACAAGATGGAATTGTTGTTATTTTAATGTTTAAAAGCAAAATCTGGTAGGATATGGTGTTCAGGCTTCAGGATGTATTTAAATGTCTTACATGCTTAGGTTGTCCCTGCTATTTAGATAACACAAATTAGGCTACCTTCTGCTTTTGTAACAGCCTCAATATTATACAGGGTTGTGTGTTTGCTTGGGCTGCTGCTAGGGTCATTCTCATTTTGACACTAAAATGCAGTGCCTGCAAGGAAACCATTTCTTTTTTACTGCTTTCTTGCAGTTATATGCTTGGATTGAGAAAGAGTTTGAAGACTTGGTTTTGTTTCATCTCTCATTTTCTTTCTAGTCTTAAATGTTTCCCTTTTCCAATTGCAAGTAAAAAAAGGTATCCTTGGAAGTTGGGAATAACCAGTCTGCTTGAGGATGGTATGTAGTTTTCTGATGTGGTACTGGCTACTTTCCATGGAAAAGAAGTTCTATGGACTTTTGTGACTTATGTGCTCTTTTCTTTAGGACTCTGTTTTGCCATTCCTGAGCTTCAATTTGCAAAGTATAGCAGGTTAAGAGTTTCTTTAATACTTGTAAACATCAAGGTGTTTTTTCCCATATCCGCAAATCTTCTTGAGTGTATCAGCAATGTTTATCTGTAGTTATATCATCCCAAATTGCATGCTCATATAGGGCTTTTTTTTGCTGCAAAAGCAAAACTTAACCTCAACCCTATATAAAATACACAGGTAGTGGACAAGTTTAAACTTTCCTCACAACTGCTTTTGGTTGAACTTTTCTTCACAGTTCAAACAATGTAACACACTTGTGCTGACCAATTCAAATTAGGGTTTTTTTTGTTTTATTCAGTACAACACATGGGCTAATAAATTCCTGTTCCTAAAGGTATTTTTAGAGTTTGTATTAATCTTGTGGCGTTTTCTTACATTTTTTTTCTCACATGATAATTTTCCTTTTTGGTGGAGCTGTATATCATATTGGTTATGTATTAGGAAGCTTTGACAATTTATCTTCAAGATATTTTAGCTATTTATCTTATTTGTTTATTTTTGGTTGTTGTTTATTTTTTGTTGCTGTTGAATGGCATAAAATTGTTCATAGGTCAGGCCAGAGCTTCATAAGTATTTGACTCGGTGTTTTTGTTCCATAGTAAGTTTGTACGATTGTTGTTTGGTCTTGCCTTGCTTAACTTTAAAGTTTTATATAGCTGGTGATAATGCTCTTGTAAATACTGTTTAGTGGGAAAGCTTCTTGTCATTGACTTCTTGATAAAAGCTGGCTAAGCATTTGCTTTGTGCAGCTGAATAATACAAAAACTGATCTGAGAGAGACTTGCTGTCATTATTTTTAATATGAAAATAATAGCTGAATAGATGAGCTAAATGCCATTTCTTTCAATTTTCTTTCCTTCTGGTGAAAAGAAAAGGTATTTTGTTTTACTGTATGCACTGTAATTGAGGCATAGTTAAAGGGTTATTATCATCCACTGGAGACACTGAAGCAGTAGGAACCATCACTGAAGGCTCTCATTTAGTGATTTGGTAAGACTTAGATTGTGTATTCAGTTTGTCCATGTCCAGAGGTTGTGCTTAGTTGTCTGGCATTGTTCTGTAAGCATGACTGCTGGTGTGCCAAGGAGCTTATTAATTTGATTAATGAAGATGCACTCCAAGCAGTTACTAAAAATGAATAACTTAGAAGGTAGAGAGTAATGCACAGAATGCACTTCCTCAGCACAGAATGCTGGCTTGGTGCCCAAAGCAACTTGCTGCAATTAGGTTTCTGTCCAAAATGTGATATGCAAGTTTTTGTTGCTGTGCTTCACTCATAGGTGTTTCCTCTTGGGAGTCTTGACATCCTAAAACGAATTTGTGCTGCTAATAACCTAGTAATTAAAACCATCCTTTGGAGTAAAAACCAAACTCGTACTTTGCAGTTGAAAAAACCAAATATTTGCAATGTAAATCTGCAAGTATTTCCTTTGAAACTGGCAAGTGGATGTTTTTGATGTATGTATACTTTCCAAAGCAATAACTCTGGTTAGATTAAGTTGCTGTGTGGTCAAATGTCCTCATGTTATCTTATGATCATAGCAATTTAGACTTGAAAAGTCTTTTGGGTCCAAGGCATGGCCAATTTTAATTGTTGCTTCTGATACCTGTCTAGTTGATTTTAATGTCCCCTGATGTTCTTTCTAACTTAGAAAATTAGAAGCTGCTATGTTAGGATTTTTTTTCTTGGATGTCTTGCCTTAATGTCATGGATATACAACACTTTTTTAGCATTATGTATATTTCCTTTGCACATCTTTAAAGGCTTCCCATTGCACATCATGTGTTTTAGACTTGTGTCTTGCAGTGCTGTTGTGGACTTCTCACCTGTTCCCATGTAGAAGATGTTATTCAGCTGAGATGTTGTTGCACCCCACCAGCAATAACATCTGATGCAAACAAAACTGTTCATGTGGCTCCTTATCATACACACTATGTTGTTGAAGAAGGAACAGATACTTGAGTGCAGTGCTCCTGCACAATCCAGGGAGTTGAGGTCCCTCCTTCAGAGCCTCTATCTTGTTAGTGGTTCTTTTTGTGTCTGGGTGGCTGATACTTTTGCCTGAGTGTACATATTCCTGGTTGTTTTGGTTGCTTGTTTTCAAAGTCACTGGGTCACTTTAGCATCTCCTACAACTGAATCAGAAGCCATTCAGTATTCTTGAATACTTGCACTATTGCCCTTCTTTTGTGCAATCTTTGTGCCACAGAAAATACAGTAAACATTATTTTACACTGTTAAAATCCCATTCACATTCTTGGTTTTCTTTTGCAAATTGAATATGGATAGCTAGTTCTCAAGTACTTTTTGCTGTCAGTTCTGCATCTCTTGCCAAGGACTGAAACATTCTCTGTAATGTGGTGATTGGCTCATGGGAGAGGCAGGAAAAAACTTCCTAAAGTTCAGATATGCAATTTACTGAGATAGTGGCTTAGGACAAAATTAAATCAGTTTAATAGAGGCACTTTCATTAGTTATGTTTCTCATTAATTTGTCTATGTGTTTACTAGTAGTCTTTTTTTTAAACACATATTCCCAGAACTGGAGGTTCAGATAATTGATCAAAACTTAATTGCCTTCTTACTCTTGAAGACAATAAATTGAAATATTTTTGGTGCTATGTTCTCTTAGTGCTCTTACAGATGCAACAGTTTCACCAGTATCCTTGTTAGGTAACTCAGTAAACTATATTTTCCCCTAATCATCCTTCTGATACAGTTTCAGATCGTAATGAGCAGGGAACTACAGACTGCTTACCAGTCTTCTAACCTTGAATTTCTGGTCGATAAGGCTGGAATTTTCGAAACAACAGGGCACAAAGGCATGGAGGGATAGGCATGTAGTGCAGGACTTCTGTATTTGTTATTCTTCTGTGAAATAAATTTAGAACTGTGTTAATCCTAAAATTAAAATTAAGGGCTGTTTTAGTGTTAAGTTCTGCTTCTCCCATTCATATGCTGGGTGTTTAGAAAAATACTGTCTAATTTTGACTGGCAAGAAATGAATGCTGTGCTACAGAATTATCAGGTAAGAAGGAGGACCAGGTCTGTTCCCATATAGGCTAGTTCCATAATGTACAGTACCAAAAATGTGTGTATTTCAATGGGTTGCCCATACAACTTTAAAAACAAAATACACACAGTCACTGATTGTCATTTGACTCTGCATCTTTCCATGATAAAAAAGTTCCAATCTGCACCTAATAAACTGCATATTTACATTGAGGAAATTATAATTATTTGGTAGGACTGTGGAACTGTGACTGAATGCGGAAAACCAAATCCATCGTTCTCCTGAGACAGGTTCTAATGAAGGAGCTTTCCAGAAAAGTCATTGTTAGGGAAATATTTAGTAACTTCAACTGCTGTTGTAACACATAACAGTTCTCTATGTAAGGAGAAATGGTTTCTCAAGCATCTTGGAGTAATCACTGTGGGCTTTCCTGTACCAGTCGTGGTATTTGACTTGTTTATGTAGCAGAGAGTTATGGTGATGTAGGAAAGTGTGCTCCCCTGTATGTGATGCTAGTTAGTAGGTAATAGCTTTCTGTAGGTAACACCTGTAGTATTCTAAAAGCTGATGTCCTGGGAGGCCTCTTGTGATCAGCAGCAGAAAAGTGGCAGAAGAGTACTCAAGCATGATCAGTGGAAGAGAAGGTTTTTTTTGCTTATGTATCTTGTCCTATCTCTATGTCTTACAGACATAAAACCTTCTGTCTTTACAGTTCAAAAATATGCAAGGCAACCTCTGATGTATTCCATATGTTTTTCTAGATCACATAATTATTGTACTTAGTGACAAATAATAATTTGACTAGAATTGATCTGGTTTTGCCAAGTCATAAATACCGTCTGTCTGTTACTACATCTGACAAAAAATTAAAGGAAGCGTCTTGTGAAATTAACAAAGGAAATGTTAATAATTACCTATAAGATCCTGTGGTGTGATCATCGTATGGTGGTCATTTTTGATGACTGAAAGCTACTCTGAAACATGAATTCATCTCATATCGTCATTGTGCAGTACAAAGCAATGAAACCATGCAATTAGAGTGTTTTAAAACTGCTGTGTGGTTTGTTTTTTTTTTTTACTGTGACTGTATTTGCTAGTGGTAGATCCACTATTAAACTGTAGAGTTAAGTTATGCCAGATCAAAAGGCAGAATGATTTTGTCTAGAATCTAAGTGCTTGAATTCAGGAAGAGACTGGATGAGTACTCATACAGGAAGCTGCAGACAGCATTTGTTCATATGATTAATTTCAAAGAGTACATAAGTATATACTCTATCACATGAAGTTACTGTGGGGAGTAAGTGGAATTGAAAATAATTTGGTGAGAAATATTTTAAATGTTTTGTTTACTATCCTTACTTTGGAGATAAGTGTTCTTGTTTATCCTGGAATATTGCAAGCTAGTGTTTTTTACTCTAAAACTGTAAACTTCTAGAGCTACTGAAGGAGAGCCAATGGAAGAAGTGGTTCAAGAAATGACATTAGATGAGTGGAAAAATCTTCAGCAACGGAATCGACCAAAACCCGAATTCAACATTCGGAAGCCAGAATCCACTGTTCCTTCCAAAGCAGTGGTGATTCACAAGTCAAAATATAGTGATGATGTAAGCATTGCCTCAGGAATTCTGTAAACCTTCCTTTATAGCCAGGGTTAGGAAACAGTCTATTTTTTTTTCTACTAGCTTTAGTGTAATTTGAATAGGCAAGAAAATAGTATCTAAGCTTTATCACTGCAATGACATGTGCCCCAAAACAGGCTTTAAACTGTGTCTGATTTTTTTGTCTCACATCATCGCCCCTATTTTCTGTGCAAAGACGTAATATAGGAAGTTTTTCTACCTTATGGCTCAGCTGCTGCCACCTGTACAGGTGTCTTGTAATGCTGCTAGAAAAACTTGGTTTATGAAACTTGGTTTACTATACACTTGTTTTCCTCAGTTTGAGTACTGTTTAGCTTATTAGCTTGCCAGTATACACTTGCATGTATCTCATTGTACTCTTAGAAATATGAATTTTGGATTTTTAGGGTGTGGCTTTTTTGGGCCTTGCTTCTTAGAACAAATCCTGGAGAGCTTGTGGTGCTGTAATGGTGCTCTCAATTTCCTCTAGATTTTACTCCATAATATTATTTAGATTGAAATTCCATGGAGAGCTACTAGTTCTGAGGAGAGAGGGTAAACTTCTTAAACTTCTTTCAGGTTCTAGCTTAGATTTCAGATTTTGGGGGTCACAAAAGTATGTGCATACAGTCTAGTACAATGGAATTTTGATCCTTGAAGTCTACATGCATTTATGAATATGTACCTTTTCTCTAGTTATAATATTAACATCAAAATATGCTTAATGACTTGAGATTGAGTCTTCCTTCTTTCTAGTGAGACTTTTTAGGTCAGAGTTGTCATTATCCCCCCTTTCTTATTTGAGAGGTAGTGGTAGGGGTGGGAAGAGTACCTTCCATAAACTGAAGAAAGCATACAGGTATGTGAAAAGTACAAGTTTCTGTTCCTTTTATCCATAAAGTTTCTGTTCTGGTGGTATCAAGAGACCTTATTAAAGTGAACACAGAACAGAAGGAACTGTGTAATGTAGGCAAGTGAAATCCCTGAATTAGACACTGAATAAATGATTAATAATTGTAAGGGATGAGCTAACATACACTTGATCATTGCTACAGTCTCCCTTAAAGTTATGCTGGGCGGTAGTCTGACATGCACTAGTTACTAGAGCACACAGTTAAAAGCACAGTAATCTCATAGCTGCAGGCATGTAGATGAATACATCGATTAAGTAGATTTGGTATGGCCTTTTTTCCATTACATGGACATAACTATAGGAGTAAGTAGCTTAGGTCTGATGCTCTAGTCTCTTTGAAAACTTCCTAGATTTATATTTCTGACAAACCTCTTCAGTATTATGGAGTTGATACAGAAGCTTTTGTTACCAGGAATCTGAGCTAACAAAGAACTATCCCAGGTGTCTGGGAAGCTGTAATTACCTCATCTGTGTTAAAATCCTGTGCAAGTTAAGGCCTGTCTTCGACTCCAGATGCTATCTTGGTTCATCTGCTGCTTAGTCTGTAATATAAAGTGTGAATGTGTATTTGGGAGGGGGAAAGCTCGTACATGAAAAACTGTAGGCTTTAATCAGATCTTCTTTTCAGTTGCAAAAAGAAGACTTTGAAGATAATTCTCATGTCTTTCGAAAACCAGTGAATGATATAACTTCTCAGCTGGATATTAATTTTGGGAGTCTTCCTCGCCCTGGCCGTGGATCAAGAGGAGCACGAGGTGGTCGTGGCAGAAGATTTGAAGAGACAGGATCTCGACCAGAAGTAGTGGTAATGGATTTTGTGGTGGTGGTGTTATTGTTACTTGGGGTTGATTGTTTGTTTGTTTGGGTTTTCTTCCTGTTGTTGACAGTGTTTGTGTGTGTCCTGCCCCTTTCTGTGTGGAATTTTGATTTTGGTTGTGACAGACTTGTTTTTAATTCCTGTCTCATAGTGTGTTGTCCTGCATATTATGTTACTTGAAATTAAATACTGATTCAGGCTCACAACTCTTAAGACATATATTTCAAAAGGTCTGATTACTAGATGCTCTAATGGTAGCTTAAGGAAAGGATGCAATTAGTTTTGATATAAATTGGGAAGTAATTAAAATAACTAAAGACTTGCATCTCTTTGAAAAAAATTGTGTTACAGTAATACTTTGTTAACTAACAGTGAGATCAGTAAATCTTTGATCCTACAGAACAATTAATGTGTTCAATATAACCATTATAAAAAATTTCCACTTACCTTTTCCTTTGGAAGAAAAAAGCATTTGTACACTGGAAAATAGCATCTTTATTCTTCATACTAACAGAAACTTTACTGTGACTAAAATGCTTTAAGATCAGGAACTTTCAGAATAATATGGACATGTTGATGCATTTGTTTTATCTGGAAAAAAGGTTCTTTATGGTAACAGATCAGAGAGATTAAAACTACAACCCAGTATGGTCAGTAGCTCTGGAATGTAAAAATATAGTAATGCTTCTTCTAAAATACGCCATATTCTGCTTGAGACTGCTTTCATTTGGTGCTGCAGAACTTGTGACCTTCTGGTCCTCTCCAGGGAGCATTATAAAAACATTCACACTGAAAAGGAATTTTAGAAGTCACAAGTTCTGAGATAAAAGCCTTGTGATAATTATGGATACAATTTGAGTAGAAGTAGCATTTAGTAGTAGTAGCATTTGAGTAGAAGAATTAATGCTTTTGAGGGCAAAATACATATACATAGCTGTCAGAAACTTTTGAAATGCATTCATTTTTGTAAGACTTCTTTCCTTCTCTTTTAGGTGCAACTTGTTGCTCCAAATCCTGATGATCCTGAGGATTTTCCGGCTTTAGCTTGAAGACCCATCATGAATGGTGATATTTCAAAGTTGCTTTCTAACTATGAAGTGATCAGTTGTATGCTGGTGTGGATTAAGGAAGCCAGGTTCCTTCTGGAAAGTTGTTTGGATATTTGGTGCTGTCTACTAAAAGAGTTGGGTTCTGGAAATATATACACTGGGATCCTGTCACAGGCTCCAATGTCTGCCTCCATTTATGAAACTTATGGGAAAGCTTATATTACTTCCCTACTAGGCTTCAAGTGAAGTTAAAGGGAAGAGAGTTTAAAAATGTATATATAGAGATTATATCAAGTTCTTCACGACAGTGGTGAAATGTAAACTGTACAACACGATCTACAGCTGGGACTCAATTTCACTGTATATTTGAAAGTAGATTATTTTGGGTGAAGTGTGTATTTCAGACAGTCACAACTTGCAGTTCTTCAGAGTTTCACAAATAAAGAAAAGTGCACATTTGGTTTGGGTTTGAGGTATTATTTTAAGAAGTTAAACTGGTAGGTGAAGCTTTTGCTATTCAGATATAGTCTGGGGAAAAAAAGTGGGGGAGAAAGATCCAAACCCTAAATAACAATTTGTACCCACCAAAAAAACTGGACATCTCTCTAAATGGAAGTGATCATTAAAATCAAGGCAGCATATGTGCTTTGAATTGACACTTAATCCTAAATTCTACTTAAGTAACAAGATATAGTTTGCAATTACTTTGAAGATTAAGTAAAATAAGAATTTTAAGGACAGAACTAAATTTTTAGGGAAAATTTTAATTTTAGCAGGAGTAACTACAAATGAAAATGTTAAATGCCTTACTAAGAAATTTGTGATGTTGGGGATGAGGTGCAATGTTCTTCCATTGCAGCTTTAACATACTTAAGCCAGATTTTCTATTCCCTGTCCAAGGGGACATTGAGATTCATTTTGGGGGATATGAGAAAACCAAGAAATTGGTGCCAGAGGTGATGACAGAAAGAAATGAGAGGACAAGTATACTGGACATTTTGGAAGTAGCTGTCAGCCTCACAGGAGTCTTCAAATGCCTGCTCAACTTGAACATGTTCTTTAAATTTACTGGGAAAGAAGACTATAAACCTTTCATGTTTTCCCGTTCTGTGCCTCACTTCTAAGTAGTCTCCTTTGAGAGTAAATAGTGGATGAAACTTAGAAGAAAGAAAGTTTTTCTTTGGAGTAAGCTCTAAGTATACTCACAATCTTAAAAGACTTTTCTCACTGATAAGGCTTTACTCAAATAGGTTTTTGTCATCCTACAAAGACTCTTTTCTCTGTGCTCCAAACAGATGGTCTGCAGAACAGTTCAGCCCAAAGGATATTTTTTTGCATTGTTTAATTGCTTATATAACAATGTGCTATAGCATGAGGTTTTTTTTACTCTGCAAGAAGTTCATCATAGTGGGATAGAGATACTCTGACTTGCAGTAGGAAGAATGTGCAGAAGCCAAGTGTTGGTGTTAGAGGAACCCATGCTGCTGCTATTTGAGTAACTGAACTGGATGAAATAATGCACACCTCCTTCACTTTGCATTCACAAGGTGTTACTTGAAATCACTGCAGTTTTGATTTACCTGATGCTGCCCTTTTTACAGGTGTTGTTTATTTCTACCAAAAATGGCAATTTAATCAATGTGGAATGTAAGTGATTTTGTCTGTGGGTTTCTTGGAATATTTTGCTTGCTCTTTCTTTCTTGTTCCCATTGGACAGGGAAGAATGTGTCTGAATTTTTATTTATATTTTTACTTGCTGGGGGTGCTTGTATGTGTTGAGATGTGGAGAGTTTTTTTGCAGGGCTTCCTTATATTTTCTGTCATGTTTTGAATGCAGCCTTCTCTTCTACTGACCTGTTTTTGCTAAGGAAAGTGTTCATATACTTAAAAGTAACTCTCCCTTTTTCTTCTAAAAATTTAAATCTTTGCTGTACTGGGCTCAATCTCTTGTGATGCATTCAGTTTAGGTCTGACTGTTCTCTGAGAAGGCTGAATTGTTTTATTTTTCAGTCTCCTTTCTGCTGTTGCAAAGTTACTGTTTATTCCTCTAACTTTGATCTGCCTTTCAAAACACAATGACAAATAGGTTCTTTGAGAAATGCTTTAAAGGACTTTTGAAAATGTCCACTTTTGGTCAGCAGATTGTAAACTCCTAGTTAAAAAGGATAGTTACAAGACTGTTTAAAAGCAGAACAAACCAACGAAAACGAAAAAATACAGCCCATCCAATCCAAAATTTTGTGAGAATGAGATTTAGTGAAATTGATTACTGCTTCAACTGAAGTTTCTTAGAACGTGACAATTTTATTTTTCAGTCTGTCAGACTTGAATATAGCTTAAGAGTTTCTCTAGTTGATGGTATATCCAAGTATAGAAAAGAAATTAATTGTAAGTGATGACAGTGATGCAATGTCTTTGCCTAGCTGTGATAACGGAACTGTAAATCTCAGTCATCTGTCATATTTAAGGTACCAAAATAGCTATATCTGTTAAGCACAGATTTGCTGCTGTCACTCCTGGTGTAGCTTTACTCCTTCATGTAAAGCAGTTGGCAGCAGGTGTAAATATATACACAAACACTAGTAGAACATGGCATGCATATTAAGAAGATATTAAATTGTGTTGCAGGTCTTAGCCATACTATTCCTTAATGCACTACTACCAGCCACTCTTTGGATTAACGTAGTGAGTGGCCTAGGAAGAACTACTGCATTTCAGGTTAAGTTGCACTAAGTTTGCAAAGAAAGGAATCGCCTCTCTTCATGACTGTCATTTACATATGATAGTGTTAATATGATGTTGTTCACTTGAATCATATGCAGTACTACAGTTTAGGATGGGCAAGCATATATTAATATGAAAGTGCCTTTAGAAGAAAGAAGAGAGAAATGTCTGTGCTTAAGGTAAGAATACCAAAGAATGAATTAAGAGACTCAGCAATAAAAACCCTGAGTTGATAAACAGGAATATTGGGCATTTGAGCCCATAAGAAATGAGCTTTCAGCTGGTTACACTTTTTTGTATGAAAACAGGCCTTGGGGTAAAAGTGTGCTTTGGGCCCAAACTCAAAATCTGTACCTCTAGTACACTTATGCCATTAAAATTATTAATCTTCTATTACACAACTTTAATATAATTTTCCTTTTTTTTTTCCCAGAACTGTAACAGGTACATATGAAAAACTGAATATATGTGTGTATATACACACACTATATATATATATATATATATATATATATATATATATAATATATGCAGTGTTGGAAGTAATGCAATGCTGACTCATTATGAGTGGATCAATAATTGAATGTGAAGAATTATTCTTTGCATAAAAATACATTTCAATAACTGAATATTGGGCATGAAATCAGAGCTTTTTCTCTTTGAGCAGCAGATGCTGAGCAAGTACTGAACAGTTTGTGCTTGGAGGGGAGCAGCCTTCAGTCTTCGGAGGAAGCAACAACTGTTACACTTTGGCTGTGTTACTTAGAATTTAACTTGAAATACATTTTATCTTCAGCAGATTTTTATTTCTTTTTTTTTTATTATTTCTCAAGAAATGCCTTTTTTGTATTTGTGATATAATTGTTGCAGATAGCTGTATCTTCAGCTCAGCCTCAGATAGTGCATCACATTTAATGACTGTTATGTTGGAGATTAACCAGTTCTAAATAAATTGAATAAAGTTTCTACTCTCCCTGTTTAGGTAACTAAACTAGTTACTAGTGTGACTATTCATAATCTGTATTCACTTGTCTCTGCAATGTTTTGTAGCTAATTAGCAGGACTCAGTAAGCTGTTGCATACTTTCAGCAAGAGTAGTTCCTCTGTTGAGATTTGTACAGCAGTGACTGAATGAAAGATACTGAATTTTGTGTAATGGAAATGAATGAGCAGGACAGTTCTGTGAAAACATAAACATTTTGTACCTTGCTGTTTTTTCTTTCTCATGCCAGAAGAGAGTAATAAGCTGACATACTCTGATCCAGGAATTCTATACTTGTTAGTTGGTTATATTTCTGTTGCTTTTGGATTGAGTGCTTCTCTTTTCAGAGTTTTTGCTAGCTCTAGCAATGACTTGGAACCTTAGAGGCTAGTGTGGGAAAAGTAAAACCCAATAAAGTTGCTACAGTGAAAGAATACCAGAGGCTAGAAAGGTCTGATCAGTGGGAGAAAGAGATAGAACTCAAAAAAAAAATCAACACTAAATAGTAGTTCACTTTAAAATAGATATGATGCTGGTGTAAAGAGATGGACAAAAAGCACCTGGAAGCATGAAACCAGGACAAATATAATGTGTTTTAAGTACTGACTAGAGATTCAGTCCAGTGAGCATTTTGGGAAGAATGGTGAAAGATCAGTCTAGTAATAGCAAAACATGAACTCAGGAAGAAATACAAGGATGTGTAGAGAAAAGCTGTGCTGGAAGGAGTGATCATGAAGAGGTGACCCCTTCAACTGAGCAGAAAACAATGAAATTATTCTGCTGTCTTAAAAGAATGGCATCAAAGCACTGACAGAGGAAAAACCAAGCTCACAAGGGTAAGAAGTGATGTTTCATTATTTACCCTCCTGCTCTTGGCATCACTCTCACTTTGGATTTTCTTGCATTAGTAATAGCTGATGCCAAGGGTCTATTCTTATTGTGATGTCAGGGTACAAGGACTTAGGAGTTTGCTACTTTATCCTGTTAGTGCTGTAACTAAACTGCAGCTACTGGCACGCTTGGGAGAGCTGGGAATTGGAGGTGCTAGTGACACAGAGGAGTTCTTCATCTGCTGCTGTGCTATACAGCAGGGCCACCACATGCTGAGTTGAGGGATCAAAAACACCAGTGGCTGCTTGGTCTGTCTGAAATCTTTGTCAGCCTTGAGATCTTGGACAGACTTTGATAGAGAGGACTTGGACCAGGAATAGAACTGTTTCAAGGACAGACTTTCTGGGTGCCTTTTTCCACACCCTTTGTGACAATCCAACACTTGACAAAGCTCTTGGAAATATCCCATGGATCAAGGGTGTCATGTTTAATATCAGATTTACTTACCTGAAGATGGTTCATGTTACATGGCATTTCTGGTTTATAAAATATACTGATACAAAGTATACTGAAAACACAAAAACATAATATTATAGTTAATATAGCAATTGCAGTACACAGATCCTTCACAATACCAATATGACTCTCTTTACTGGTCCTAATGAAATACATCCTCACTGTCATCATGTCAAGTCCTCAGGTGTCAAGAAAGAATGGGAGGGTTAATCAGTTAAAGCTCACTGTTCTTTTTGAAATTCTTATGGCAGTTGCCTGGATTTTATTTCTGTGTATTCATTCTCCCCATGCTGGCCTGGTCTTCATTATTGCTAAAAAAGTACTGGTTGATCTGCTCAAACTTTGATAGCCATTTATCCAAAACAAAGGCCTACCTCGTGTTACTCTGAGTTGAGATAAAGTCATCTTTGTAACTGCTCTGGTCCATCACTCCATGAGCTTTGAAAGCACATCACCCTTGTCTGTATTCTCTTGGCCTTATTCCATATTTAGCACTTATTAGTCACATCCATATGAAACCAACCCCAGAACCAGAAGTGCAAGAAAAAAAAAAAATTTCTTCTTCAACAAACCCTTGGTGAGATAGGTTTAAAGCACAGTTTCTCTCTGGAACTCAGATTTCATGTATAATAAATAAATAAATAAAGGGAATCCTTTTTGCTACAGCATGTTTTTGACTACTCCTAGATAAGCAGTGTAGCAATTGCAATGCAATGGAGGCTGAATAGATCCAAACTGAAGTTACTCAGAACTACTGTGAACAGATTATTCTTGCAGTGCATTAACTTCTCAATGGAATTGTCTTGGACCACTGTTAAATTTTTCTTTGTGAGATTCTTTCCATCCTGTGCCCTCCCCTGCCCAGTGTCAATACTCCATAAATTGCTAATGATGTGATAGGGCTTAACTGTGTTTTTCTGTGGGCATCAAATGCATAAATTGGTTCTCCACCATTCACTCTTCATCAGGCAGTTTGTCAGGAAATGGTGCTTAAAATTCATGTTTAAAATTCATGCTTAAAATTTGGAAAGAATCACCTTAGAACAGAAAAACATATTTTCCAACTATAAAACTGTATCATTATGGGAAGTAGAAGTTTACTTGCTTGTCAAATAGGCTCTGGTTGGTGAGTGCAAATTCTGCATTTTCTAATATAGGTAAGGTAAGGGCAGTAAGAAGTATTTCAGTTGGTACTATTTTTTGCTGTTGGGTATTTTTTAAAAGACTATGCTAGGCCATCACCCATGCTTGTACAAAAATCACTGTTCCTAAAAATTTAATTATTTTGGAAGACTTCACTGTTCATGGTAGAGTATCAAAGTATATATTATTTAAGATAATGCCTGTTTCTAAAAATTAATACTATATAATCATAGAGGAAGGAGAAATAACAACTAAAATCCCATTGATCTGTCATACTGTGCTTTTTTCATTGTGTAACTGTATCCCAACCATTCAAATGCAGGTACTGTTTTCCAACGCGAGTTCCTGGAAATGTAGAGACAGAAAGTCTATATTTTTGAAATTTAAAGAAATGTGTGTTTTAAGAATCTATGCTTTAATTAAAGATTTTCAGGGAGCTGAATGTGTTGCGTTTTTTCAGTGCACATATGAGTCAGTCTGGTTACAGATATGATGTATGTCTTTGTGATCATACTGAAAATAAAACAGAAAAGAAACCTTCTCATTATTTTTAATTTTACACAGTTCATGTTTACACTTTTCACTATTCAGATTTTGTATAAAATCAAATACAATCTGCAGTATTTTCAAATAACAGACAAATGCATATTGAACTAATTAATATTACAAGATAATATGAAGCTTTATCTTAAAAATACCTTCAGCAAAATAAACTTCCGTTCTGTCAATCCAAGTTAAAAAAATATGATTAGAAATATACAGTTTAAAACTAATCAGGATGAACAGTACTGGTCAGTCAAAAAATTTTAGAGCTTGATAGCCTGTACGTGAGTTTACGTATGACAGTCTGCAAACAATTAATATAAAAAATGCAGTGCAACAAACTGGTGAATATCACATTTATATTTTGGATTTTTTCTACAATCTCTTACTGTTTTAAAGCAGCAGTGCTTCCTCTACTGTCATACTAGGGCAAAAAGACAAGGTCTAGGTTAGTGTCTAAGTTTTTTTGATGCTGTAATGGCAACCAGCAATTTTACCCAAGATCTTACAGCTTTTGAGCATGTAGTGTCTTTTTAGTTAAGAGATTGAGGAAGGATTCATCTGCCAGATGTTTGAATGAGGAAAGAATTTCTAAGAAGACTCTCCTAACTGATGACAGCAGAAGAAACTTCATTCAGCTGCTCTGTTGTACAGATATACAAAGGTGACACAGCTGCCATAACACATTCCGTTTTGGCACATAGTACTTCACAATTCAGAAAAAATTTAGAAACCAAGAACTTCCTCATCCATGCCGACTCTTCATTCTTGTACTTAAGACACCTTTGGTATGGTATATTAAAAATGTTAGAAAAAGTAATAAAAATTTGTAACAAACAAATCTAAGCATACAATTAGATTTGGCACAATGAGGTAATGAGTTAATTTTCCATATAAGGCTGTTTGGAAAATTCAGATGTAAAATCCCTTTGACATTTATGTGCTTTTTTACTAAGATAGTGGATGGTGAATAGGGTATACTGAAACACATTGATGCTAAACATTTAGTTTTGGTTTAGCTAGAGTTGCTATTGTTTATGCAGTTGCATTATGCAAATTTACTTTTGATGAAGCTAGAAGTGCTAATTACTCTGCTGGTTACTTTAAATGCAGCAAATTCTGATTTAGAATTTGGAAGGGCTGAGAAAGAGACCAATTATTTTTAGATTAAAAAAAAATACTAAAAGAAGCAGCTCAGCTGAGAAGGGCAAAGCCAAACACAGTAAATATTATTAAACCTTTATTCTGATTCTCTTCACTATTTACACCTCTTTAGCCTTCCAAGATGAGAATTTTGTTCAAAAATAGGCATAGATTCATATTTGCACAACAGACCTACTATTGTGGTTATCTGTAGATAAGTTTTGCACAAATGGCTTATTAAAAAATCCGCCCAAACAAAAAAAACAACCCAAACCACACAACCTCCACTAAAAACCCCTAACCAAACAAACCAAATCCAAAACGCCCTAAACTGAAACAATCCCAGAAAAACCAAATAACTTCTGCCAAAACAAACAAAGCAACCCCATTCAAAGCCCAAGAAATTTTAATTGCCTTACTAGGATGAGATCAGTCCCTCTCTTTCAGATGCTTTTTATCTAGAAGAAAATGGGGTAAAAAGGGAAGTTTAAGAAGAAAACAAAATATTTTCAGTATTAGCCTTCAGTTGTCCTATATTTTGCATTAAATCTTTTCTTTTTAGTTTGTATTCATATTTGCAGATTTTGACTATCTAAGCACATGGATGTTATCTGTAAGCTTACTTACACTTCACATCCTGTTTCCTCTCCAATTCATGATTCTTTTGCTAGAAACTCTTTTCCAGCCATTGTGTAGTTTCATACTTTATTCATACTGGCATTCAAAAATCACCAGCCTAACAGAAAGCTTAGTTTCCATTCAAAAGGATGTAGATTGAAACTAGTCAGTGAACATTTACATTCATTGAAATTTCCCTCTCTCACAGAGGTAATCTGCATCTTTAAAAACTTCAGTTATTCTATTACTAACATTGCAGATTTCTGATTTTCTTCCACTTTGTACTGTAAAAGTTATTAAATCAACAAATAACTGATTCATTTTTAAGGCTATGTGGTAACAGCCCTCATCTGAGGGATATGCAGCTATAACCATCAGCCAGCTGGTGGACAAGGGTACATCAGTGTTGAAATGCCATAATGTGAAAAGTAGTAGGAAAAAAACCACTGTAGTCCTGTAGGGGATGAAAATTTCAGTCTCAAGCATATTCCTCTAAAAATTACACTGCTTTTTACCAGAGGTAAATAGTATTTCTTAAAGTGTTAGATGTCAGAATTTTTACCTGCCCCTGAATTCCACTACCTCAGTCCTATGGCAGCTTTACTTTCCCTTTTTTTGTCTGCTGCACACATTAAGTGTCCCAAAGCACTGTCCATGTGTTATCAAGCATACCAATGAAATCTGGGGTGGGGATTCTTACCTTTCATATATGGTAATTTAAAGTTTCACCTAAAGGACTTGATAGGAAAAGAAACAGTAATGTTTCAGTGATGAAACAGTAATGACATTTCAATATGACAGCACTGCTTTAAATGGTAGAGTTTTTCCTCCCCTTTAAAATAATACCATATTTGAAGCAGTTATAGCTACTTCAAAGAGCAATTGGTTGTGAACAACTAAAAAGCTGTCACTACTAAAAAAGGTTAATCACTTACAATAGTTTTTCCTAAATAAACCACACAACCTTTGACAAAGCATTCTTTGGTGGACAATAGTTACATTATGTACTCAATACTGCAGTTTTGTAAAAAACTCCATACAAAGTAAGAAAGAACAGCCAGTCAACACAGGAGAGTACCAATACTATTAGAAAAAAAAGCTTTTGTGGTTGATTCTCAGACTCAAGTGAAGACTTCAGCCCAGTCTGAATGCACAACACAGATTTATATACTTAAAAGCTCCCACCATGTGGTGGTCAGCAGCTAAGTGATTGCCATCACAATTCGTACACATGCATCATATATACTAGCAAGCCCTCTTTATAATTGAGAGCTTAAATATTTACACCTGAGTCTGAATGTACGTAGATTCCGTAGGTTTTGAGAAAGTGTTAACATGGTAGAAAAAATTCTACCAAACATGTTGACAGTTCATTTTATTCTACAAGTTAAAAAGAGATTGTTCTATTTCATTTTTAACTGAAAAATAGAGCCAAAGTGATCTTCCTTGAATTGCATCAAGTCCCCTCTATATCCCCTTCACTCCTGAATATCCTCTTCAACATTGGTGGCTTATTCAAAATTCAGCGCAATACTGTTCTAGTCTTTGTGATGGATTGGCAGCTGAAATAAAACATATTTGAGGGAAAAAGTTAAATATTACTCAGTATATATTTCAAGCAAGCATTTCTGGCAAGGTAAAATGAGCAAATGGTATTTCAAAGAAAGAAACAAACAGTAGAAGTCACTGCATTTAGTAACACAGCAATACTGATTGTCAAGGATGCACAGACTGGTCTGATCACAGACAATATGAAGAAGATTCTGTTTCCATTTCCATACAGAAATGCAAAAGGGGATTCAAAATAGTATAATATTATTAAGTGCATTTGTATGAAGCATTCCTTTTCTTTTTCTCCCTCTGAAATATCAGACTGCAGGAAAAGTAGGAAGAGCAGGACAGAAACATTTATATTTTTTTAAAGCTAGATTTAGATTACATATAGAAAAGTTCTGAAATGCTGCAGGTAATTTTTAGTATTTGAACAAGGGTATAGAAAACTGCTTTGTAATACCTAGCAAAGTAAAGCCATATGAGATTTTTAAAATGTATTCCTCTTCGTTAGCTTTTGTGATATTCCTCTATGCAGTTTTCATACCTTTTCCCCCACATTCCTCTTTATAATTTTTTTGTAATAACATCACCTGCATTCCCTTAAGCACTTTTATGCATCAAAATGTCTTTACCACTTAGGATTTAATTTCTAATAAACTACTTACTATAAATTTAATTTTAATTCTGTTCTGTGTGGTAATGTGGAAAAGACCGTTTAACTTTTGTGTTATGACTTAGTTGGTTTGGATGTGAAGTATGTACCTTGTTAAAATACAGACATGAACTTCTCAGAACTGGCAAATTTACAAGGAAGATGTCTTAACTGGAGAAATAAGGGATCCATAGAGAAATACTGGGTTATGGGCTAGAAATGTGATTTCCTGCAGTTCAAAATGATTTATTATTTTATTCATAAGATATGTGTTAAGTCCATCAGTACTTTCTTTTGTAGAAGGCAGCTGACATCTAAAGACATTCCACAAAGGAAAAGCAGTGAGTGTTATAGAAAGGTTTGAAATTCCCTATGTTCTCTTTAAAAAGCTAGAATAGTGTTTTAGCTGTAAGCAGCTGAAAAACTTTTTCACTGAAAAATCATTCTGGAGACAATCCATGGTAGTGTTTCCAACAGTCTGAAGGATGAAATGATAAATGAATTCCCTAGCTCTGCAGATTATACTGCATTAGGATGGGTCACAGGTGTGATTCACATACAAAAAGAATTGACTAAAGTGACATAAAGCAGTAAATGAGACTGATGTAAAAATGGTGCAAGATGTTTCCACTGGAATGTTTCAGAAAGAAAATGAAAGAATAAGGATATACAGTAATGTCAGTGAAGTTCAGTGAAATAAATGAAGTCTTGACAAAGACAAATGCTGGTTAGGGCAGGATGTCAATATTGTAGAAATAATTATTCTTTACCCTGTAATGCACTTGATCTCTGGATTAAGTTAAATTAATCTGAGTACTATGAGGTAATGCAAACTGCTTAGACTTCAATAAATAAAAGAAAAGGCATGCTTAAAAAAAGACTGATACTTTTTAAATTGCTACAGGAAAATAAAAAGACACCTACAAGACCAACACCAAGGTACTGCGTTCTAAATCCATCAAATTATATGGTCATACCAAAACACCCTTCAGAGCACCCAATTAGCCCTCTCAGATTATAAAACAATTAAGAACTCTGTAACTGTGACAGAACAAGGATAAATTTGATTATTGGATGAAAATGTGAAAGTAACTGAACTTCTTAGACCTCCAAAGTTAGAAGGAAAGAAACAGCATATGGTGAGTATTTGGGGTAGAAATTTTAGAAAGTCCATTAAAATATGAAGGAAGTAATTTAATGAAGTTTGAGATCAACCTGGTGCTTGGCCTTCAGAGTCATACATCTATCTGGAAATACACCTAAAGGACTTATGAAATTAATGAAATCTTCTATGAACTCTATTTTAGGAATGCTGTTTTCTCCTAAGGATCAGTATTCACATCTCACACAATACAAAGGTCAGCTAGGAGAAGTGCTTTCCTGGAGCTGAGAGTCTCCAGATTACACACATACATGAATGCAGATACAAAATGTTGCAAACAGGTTAGGTTAAAACTGGGAGAGGCATGAAGAATAAAAACAGCACACAGAATCCCATCAATCCTATTTGGATCAAAACTGATGTGGTAAAAATTAGGCAAAATGGAGAAAAAACTCAACTGACCAAAAGGAAAACCTGGAAAAAGACCACTGATTTTTAATAAAATACCTGTTTGATGAACAAGGTCTTATTTTTTAATGTTGTTCAATAAAATCAAAATAAAGTCACAACAAATGTCTCTGAATAGAATTTACTGCACTCTACTGACTATTTCCCCTGACAGTGCAAATTTTTCATAACTTCATTACTTTCAAGGTAACAGGACGAAGAAAGAGAAAAACTCTGTGAGGAAAAAACTGCAAAACTTAAATTTTCAGAGTTATTGATAAATCAAGCCACATAACATAGGAAGTAGTTATGTGCCAGCTTTTACTCTTTCCAATCAAAATCTCTTCAGCACCTGACAGACCCATTTTTCAATACAAGTTTAAGATAAATTCCAGTAAACTGTAAGCAGTGGAAATTGTTTGGATATTGTTTTAAACTATGCTCTCAGGCTCATCTTTTATAATGACCTGGAGAGTTGCCACAGAGGGGTGTGATCGCAGGCATATAAAAAGATAAGTAACAGTAGTCTGACCATATACTTCTGGGCCAAAAGGAACTTTTAGTCTTCCATAAATCCACTAGAACTTAGAATTTCATTAAGCTTTACCTAACAGGTTTAGTTCAGCTTATCAGCCATGCTCTCAGTAAAAAAATCTCATACCAATGTATACATGCATGTTATATACTTCATCTTTCCACAACCAGTGCATTTCAGTTGTTGAATTCTTTCTAGATTTGACTTCACGCACTGACTAATATTTGACTTAATGCTGTAAGGAATTTTTTCATCTCTTACTTCAGGCAAAGGGGTGTTCATATCACCAAAATCCCTTGTCTTCAGTAATTCTCACTCACATTAAGAATTACTATTTAAAATTTTTGAACTTGGAAGACTGAGCAAGATAAATAAATTACTTAAGATATAATACATTCCAGATGTTCTCAGTGCCAGATGTGTCAGTACCTGACACAATCCATGTAATTGTTTCTCACTTTCCATTGCTAGGAGAAGGAGCTGAACTATGGCAAAGCTCCTGCCAGCAGTGAATACAACAGCTCAAAGTATTTGCCCAGAAAATAGTTACAGGATCTGTAAAGAGGGTAACTCTCACCTTTTAAAAGTTTTTTTTCTTGCAGCAGACCTGGTAGTTCTTTTAGTAATGTCTGTACTGTGAGAAATGCTAGGTTCAGAGGTTTTATTTTTCTGAACACTGGACTTCAGAGTTACTCTGTAAAGAGTAGGAAAAAAAGAAAAATTAAGTAACTGAAAAGTTCCTAAAAACACTGAAAAGAGGGTGTTACAGTTGCAATAGAGCTAACAAGTACCAGCTTTATATCTGTTTTCCATTCCATCTGTGCAAGATTCTAGCTGTGAAAGTATGCACTGTTTTAGAGATTCTGACCTAAGAGTAACTTAGCTATTACTCTTTATTCCTAATTTTCAGTGGCTTCATTGAGTCCAGTTGTACGAGCAGATTACATTAGACTGGAAATTAAAGCCTTCATTAAATAGTGCAAGTTACAGTCTGGTTGGTTAATACTTTGAAGAAACTGCTTTCACAGATTCCTATATATGAATACTGAATGCTAACTTTCGGAGCAAAAGTGAATAGGAATGTAAGGGGAGAAAATAGACATTTCTATATTCATGTAACAGATTCACCAAAAACAGAAATGGAAAAAACCTCCAATGTTTTCATTGTTTTATATGGGTTTCAGAATTAGAACATGTATTTGAAGTAACACAATTTCATCTAAAATGTATTTTTATGCTGTAAAACTGATCAGCAACATTATTTTTACTATACACTTCTTGATTAGCAAACAAATGTCTACATAACCACAAATTCCAAGTATTTTAAACTTTGACTTGAAAAAAATCTCTGTTAATAGTTCAGCCTTGCAAAATATTATTATGTGATTTGCAAATGTTCAAACAAAACAGCCAGTTGCTCAGGTAAGATACAAGGTTTCAATGCAAATGCTACTGTAAACACAGGACATTCAAATTTGAAGGAATTGATTCAGAGGCTTTTTTCTGCCTCTTTCAGAGGCAGATAAAGCCACCCCCAGATACCTTCAACCTCATATCACAGTTCCTTAGACAGAACAAATTCTTCTAATGAAAGTGTTTTCCTTGCATGCCCAAGGCGAAAACATTTAAAACCTGAAAGCTTATGTTATAGTTTGTATTGTGATTGTAAAACAGTTTTAACAAGTTCTAATATTGAAATTATTTTTTCAGTGCCACAGTTGTTATACAGAATGAACAAATTCAGTTTACCACACTTTCATCCAAGCACTAAAAATTACAGCAATGGTGAAATGAGACTTGCATTATACCATTCATCTGTGCTGATAGAAACTTCTAGGAATGAACAGAAAAGCACAAAGTCTGCTTAACATTCAGTCACTGTAATATAAACATGAGCAAATCATGGCACATACTGGTTTACTTGTGCTCATGCAGTCAGAAATAAGGAAAAATCACATTTTCTCCTTAAATACATACATTTGGTGTCTCTCTGTATAAAATGCATGCAATGTACACATAAAAGAAAGCAAAAGTTATTGGAATGTAATTTTTGTAATCTTTCTCTCATAAACACCCATTTTTTCTAGACACCAGAAGTTCAGAAAACTGGTCAATGTACATGGCTTAAACCCATATACGTATCTAACATGAACTGAAATATGAGCCAACAGTGTGCCCTTGTGGCCAAGAAGGCCATTAGTGTTCTGGGGGCCATCAGGAAGAGCACTGCCAGCAGGGCAGAAGAGGGGATCCTGCCCCTTTACTCAGCCCAGGCGAGGCACATCTGGAGTGCTGTGTCCAGCTCTGGGCTCCTAAGCACAAGACAGACATTGAGGTCCTGGAGAGAGTCCAGTGGAAGGATATGAAGATGGTTAAGGGACTGGATTCTCTCTTATGAGGAAAGGCTGAGTGAGCTGGGTTTGTTCAGCCTCCAGAAGAGGTGACAGAGGGGACTTCATCAATGTCTGTCAGTATCTGAAGGGAGGGTCTCTAGAGCCAGGCTCTGACCAGACATTGGGCACAAACTGATGCAGAGGAAGTTCCACCTGAATGTGAAGAACTTCTGAACCTAACACCCGAACTTCTTTATTGTGCAGGTGACTGAGCACTGGAACAGATTGTCCAGAGAGGTTGTCAGGTCTCCCTCACTGGAGATTCAAGAACCATTTGGACACAATCCTGTGCCATGTGCTCTGGGATGACTCTGACTGAACAGGGAGGTTGGACCAGATGACCCACTGGTCTATTTCAACATTTATCCATTCTGTGATTCTGTGAAGCACTATGAATTCTCAAGATAGCATTTTGCACCAATATTTAAATATTCATCTTTTCAATGTATCATAAGGTAGCCCTTACTTCCCAGAGAATTTTATCTTATCTGTTTAAAACAAAGAAAGAAAATAAAAGAAGCTCTAAATGGAAATGTGACTTATATTAAAAATAGCCACTACAAAACCAAAACAACCACAAAAACATCCTTTTCAGTTTGCTGCATTTGCCAAAGGGAGACAACAAGATGCCTTATGGGATCAGCTCAGAGCCACTTGTGAGCAGGGTAGAAAGTTTAACATCAACTGCTCTTCAGTTGATATGTCATTTTTGCATCTCAGATACATACAACTTCACTGGGCTACTCTACAGTAAAGAATAATTGAAATCACTGTGAACAAACATTTGCTAAATTATCACACAGACATTTTTAAATCAGACTAGAATTCTAGACTTCCAAGGCTGATAGTACCTCAAGGAAAAGAGACAAGGTTCCATTTACACCACTGTCTGACATGTTGCAAATAAACACCCAGAGCTGTCTTTGAGCCTCACAGCTCATCTGAGGAGCAGCAACAGTGCTATCACAGCTTTTATTAGAATGCTACTGCGTATATGTTAAAGGTGAGAGAAGAAACTAATGTATGGAATTTTGTTTTAGCACAATTAGACTAACAGCCTCACTTAATAGCAGGTTCAATAGATAGGTTTTATAAAGGAAGTGAGATGAAGCCATGGTAGAAGAAATCATGCCAAAATGTCAGCATGAAAAAATATCCCAAACTATATTAGAGAAGTGTAAGATCTCAGCACACCTACCTTACTGCTTTGTAGCTGTTCACATAAAATAGTATGCTATACTATTTTATGAAACACCAGCAAACACCAGAAACATCAGCAAAAACCACAAACACCAGCAAACCCATCTGACATACACAAAGGTTTTCTAACTTAATGGGATATGATAAAAAATGAAAAATGAAAAAAACCCAAACAACAACAACCACCACCAAAACCTCATGAAAAAAAAAAACCAACAAACAAAAACCAAAACAAACCAACCAACTAAACAAACAAAAACCCCCAAAACCCTGCAGGCTACAAGATATTGTAATAGTGACACTATTAAACATACATTTACATTGTAAGAATTTTTCATCTCCATCTGTAATGGAAACATCACTTGGTAGTTCTGATCCTAAATACACACCACAAATAGCAGACTAGTTTATACACTGCTTTCGTATTCAAGCTAATACCTTGGTCTTTAAACAAATAAAGATCTATTTAAATAGAACAGTGTTTGGGTAAAGAGCAGCAACTTTTAAATAACTCACAACTTTTATTCACCATTTCCCTCAGTACAAGGGTGGAACATACACATAACCACCAGGATACAAAAACCCAAACTACACTGTATATGGATTTATTTCAATCCACAACCTAAGACAAAATCCACAAAACTTGAATTGCAAGCAGTGAAATACACATTGGACAGAAATCAATCCACAAAACAAGCTTTTTTAAAATATGTGATTGCAGTATCCTAAGCAGGGATGAAGAAAAGAGAGGTTATACAGGTGCATGCCTTTTCTGTCTGCAAAAGGCAATTTAGTCTTGCCAACCAATCTGGGCAACCTGTCTTACAAGGTCTGTCAAGTGCAATAATACTCCTTTCTCCTTCATCACCTCATGATTTTTAAGAAAATAGACCTGAGACCTCTATTACTCTTCCAAGTCATCAACAGGCAATAACTGATAATTCTTCAGCACACAGAGCTCCAGCCAACACAACTGCCTGAGTAGCCCAGACGGATGGATAATTTGATCTCTTACTGATAAAGTGATCTCTTAAAACATGAGATATTAGCTGCAGAATGGAGAGAAAGTTAGGCAAGCTTTTAAGAAAAGCCTATATTTTTCTCTCCCTATACTTAAACCAGCATTGTATCATTGCTAATCTTGAAAATCAAGCAGCAGCACCAGTAACTAGAAATTCACAGCAAATGGGAATAATGAAATTGATTGCATCACATCTACCAACATCAAACAGTTTTTTTTCATCTAGCAAGGAAAAAGAGTTTCTAGTTTTTAGACAGAACACAGACATGATAAGAGAAAGAAAGGATGATAGTTGACTGAAGTTGATCTTATAGCACAGTACAGCAAAACAACACACAGATTGTTTCACCTCTTTAATCTCTGTTTTAAGTTAAGCTTTTTAGTATGTGTTCAGAAATCTGACCTCTCACTTCCAGAGACCACTGAGAAAAGAAAGCGTGCTCCACTCACTGTAAAACATTGAAAACACACCTCTCATGTTATTTGGAATAATGCCTCTCAAGTAAGTTATTTGACAATGTTAGGGAAAAAATTAAGCTGAAGTGATCTTTATTTCTTTATAATTTCTTTCTCAAAAAGAACAGATTAAGATGACCTCAGTGAAGGCTAACTGAATAACTAACCTGCCCAAAGTCTCCCAGTTCTCATTTTATAATTATTCAGTCACTTAGGTTAGCAGAAAGAGTTTCACGCTTTTTAAAAAATGCAGACAAAAAGTTGCAAGGCCAAAGGTACAGATGACAGAAAATCTCAACCTTCATGCCTGTCAGGAGAGAATGCCTATTCTGAATTAGTAAAATACTTTCTGACCATTTTTTTAATCTGAGAGCACCAAGATTTCAAGTATTCACCCAAAGTAACCATTCTACTTTGAGGGTGATGAAGACAGAGGAGGAGCTCCAGGAAGGCTCAGAAACTCTTTTGCATTTGTACTTCCTGGCAGTTCTGATCAAATAAAATTCAGTTCTGGAATTTTATTTGACCAAAAGATCTAAGTTGTCATTTGATGAAAACATTGCACTTTTTAAGTAGAAGCAAGACACAGAAATCACTGAAGCTACTTTGATGAAAGTGGAGTGAAGAAAGAGTGAAAACTGTACTCAAGGAACTGATATGCTATTACTGCTTTTTCAGCTGCTGAATCCAAGTAACAGAATAAAGGAATGTAAGTAGCCTCCTAAAGCTTTAGAAAACATAATTGTGAACGAAAGATGATAAAGCCAGACTGGCTGAGTAAACAAGTGAGCCTGGACCTAACACTGCAACCTGCCCCATCTTCTTTTATGTCAGAAAGGTAAAAGAAGTAATGTTTTAAGACATGGCATATAATATTTGATCTCTTTGTAGAAACAAAGATCTACTGATTTTTCTAACAAATTCTAATTCTTGGCAATTCATGTGTTGGGAAATTAGCCTACTTTGCAAGTTCATGAACCTTGAAGTAAAACTGAAGCTAACATCTGCATCTGCAATATGCAAAGGATAGGATCATATTTTAAAGCAGTATTTTATTATATACTTTTTTATTTCTTACAGATAATTTTGCTTCTGTAGTTTTGCTTATCTGCACAGAAGAAACACTTCAAAACTAAAAATTATTCTAATTATAAGAGCTCTTTGCCTTTGTATATTGTCAGTCAGCCATAAAAATCACTCAATTATTCCAAATAATATACACAAGAATATAACAAAGCTAGAGCAGTGAAATTCACTCTTGCAACAAAGCCAGTAAGAAACATGACATGAAAACATGCATTTATGAGACATACCAGACAGAAAGTGTGAGCTATTTAGAGAAATGGAATGGGACACTTACACAGTGGCTCTCTCTGGGGGTCGTGATGGTTACTATGTTCTTAAACCATCTAGACAGAATAGCAGGCTGGGCAGAAGGGAGCCACATACAATCCACCAGATGACAATGCTACACAGTGTAGACACCAGCATAGCTAGGAGCCATCTAAAAAGGGATTGGAGGGGGAGTAGAGATGAAAAAAAATTCAAAAGCAAAAGCTATTGGTGCATTTTAGCTTGTTTCAAGTTCTTCAAAAGGATACTGCTCTATAAACTTTGCCAAGCATTTCTTACTTTCTATGAGTAACAACCCATACAGCCGTAAATTGCCAATGTAGTACCCATGTGCTGCTGGAATCAAAGCAAATCTTCTGAAACCCTCACCAAAGTCACCCATTTCAAACAGTCTGTATCACTCTTGGAAAGAAGTGTGTGCAGGAGCAATACATCTCTGACTACTTGCTGCCATCTCTTATGCAGTTGGATCAGCCTGTATGCACACATCCTGGTTCACAATCACACTTTCTCATACTATAACATTACATCACAGACAGGTAAGTTTGCAGAAACAAACAACTTATATAATCAGCCAGTGATGGGGTGTGTTACTATTCCCTTTCTGTGTAAGAAGCAAAAGCCAATTCACAATCATTTGCCACAGGTGCAGAATATTGCTTATTAGCACATACGTAAAATGTCCAGTCATCAATGCATAAAGAATTTATACTGCCAACTTCACTAAACACCCTATACAAATCCCTTATGACTTAAAAGTAAATAATGCCTCTAGTTTTCAAAGACTAACTGTCCAAGGTTCTGGTGATCTTACTTTGCCCCCCCCCCCCACTCCCCTTTTTTCCTATGAAATAAGACTACTTGGAAGATCTGCTTAGATAAAAGTAATCAATTTCACTGCAAGAATAATTATTTTAACAGACTAAATTAAAAAGGAAAGAGACAGTCACCTCTTGCATAGAAAAAAACATTTGACTCACGTAAGGCAGCTAAATATCCCTTGCAATAAAACAATAGTAACACAATCAAATGTATGAGTTTACACATTCATTTTTCACTTAATTATTTCAATACAAGTCTCAAACCATAAAAATAACTCAGGGGAACAGAAAGAGGTAATTTGAAGCTCCTTGAGTGACAATGCACAATGTAAAAAATGAACTATAAGTTCAGGTCAATTATTATAATTCTACACAAATACAAGCTAATTAGACCAGACATTGCAGAACGTTTCATGAGCCAAATAATATTTTAGTAGTAGACAGGTCTTGTATTAAGATAGGACAATGGCTCTGAATATGTTCTCATTCATATATTCTCAGTCTACATTCATCGTATGGAACATACAGTGTGTGGCAATTAAGCACCTGACACCTAAGGCACTTCTGTGCCTTGGAAACTAACTTGCAAGGTAGTTGTTTTGTACTGTGTTATTTGAGGCAACTGAGGTGATGTGTCTTGGCATTTTTTAAAAGTAGGACGGGCACAGTCTTTGTTCTGAGTATGCTGTACCTTATATGGTTGCCTGTGTAAATGATAAGCATGAACAGAAGACAGTAATTTAAAACAAAGGCAGAAATCAGACACAGCCATGTGTGAAGGTTTCCAGAGGTAAACTCCTTTATCTTCAGCACATTTTTACTACATACTTCTCAGTTTTTCTAGAAGTCTGATGATAGTGGTGATCTTGAGAAAAAAAAAACAAGATAAAAATCCCATCAAGGTAGCAGCATGATGCCCTACAGAAGGACAACACAACAAAAGCCATATTGGCTGTGGCCTGTGACTTTGGTCATGTGTGACTCACAAAAGTCTGACAGCCAGGGGTCACCATTGCTTTCCTAGCAATCAAATGTGATCCCGCAAAGTTTTCCAAGTATTGCGTTCTCTTGCCATTTATTTAAGGGCAGGCAGATAGATTTTGTACCTACATTTGCTACGAGCTACAACAGATGCAAACTTACTTTTACAGGTGCAAACTTACTGTTTCAGGACTTGCCTAAAATAAAGACACTATCAGCTTCACTGACAGAAATGCACTTTGAATTTGTTTACTGGAACAGTGGCTATTCTGCCTTCCAGATCCACCAGACATTATCACAAAGCCCACAGGATTTAGGGAAAGATCTCTTCCAAGGAGGAGAATATGAAAGCTAAGAACCCTTCTTCCAACTCTGACTTTAATGACTTTCTTCAAACACCAGCACCTATCTTATTTGAGCCAGCCAAACAAAACCACACAGAGTCATATTCTTTCCTTTTTATACTACCACAGGACAGATAAGGGAATGTTGGTGATTAAACTAAAAGCATTCAGAAGTGCTTTAGGAGCTTGTAAAGTGCAGAATACTAGCATCAAAAACTATGTAGAAAACTAGAAATTCAGTCATGCAGTTCTTTAACGAAATTGTCCTGCCACCTAAGCATTTAGGAAGCCTTCAGAGAAATGGTGAATCTCATGTTTGTTTTAAGGGAGTAAAAGCAGCATTGATAGCAAACATTTGTGGGCAACGGGAAGTATGCATAAAGAAGAGGATAAAAGTGTTTCTGGCATTTTATATATTCAAAAACTGACTTACGCTAGTGGAGATGCAGTTGGAGCTTTTGCTTGCCTTCTGCTTTTCAGAGCACGAAGCTTATCCCCTTGTGTTAAACAGTTTGTTTCATCATCATCACTGTACTGGATAAGTGGAGGGGGGAAGGGATAAATCAAGATTAAATATAGACATTTTGATTTTTAAGAATTAACTTTATCTTAAAGCTTAAAATTAGAATTATCTCAACAGGATAAAGTCAAAGGAAATTCACTTGCATGAATATAGTTCTGTTCCTTCCAGTTTCCTGTTTGCTGCTTTAGAAGCTGTAAAGCATTAAGTGGTGTCATGACTTACATGCATCAGAATATTGTCTCCTTTTAAAGCATTGGAAGCAATATATTATAAAATCTTTGCTTAGGTACAGTATGATTTCACTAAATGCAGCATTTCTCTCCTTCACTTCCCTTTTGAAAACAGCAGTACTGTCTTTTTCAAAAAGCGCCATTAAGAGGTATTACAGATGTTTAGAAACTAAAATGAGTAAAAAAATCCACCCTCTCATCCCCTCCCTTTAAATACACACAGTGAAGTAACAGACAATCCAAAATGAAATTGGTGTTTTTGACTGCAGAATGTGAGTACATTTTTTCTACCGTTGACCTAATTACAAAAGACTAAAGCATGATAATGCTTCTCCTTCACCTGTGTTCTAAACTCTATTTTTCATAATGGCCATCTTTAGTTTTCCCCCCACCATATCCTTTTATACAAAAAGGGTGAACAGAAAAAAAATTTGATTAACAATGCTTTAGTGCACCCACAGGTTTTTTCAAAACCTGAGAGATTCTCAACAGTTCCAACTTTTACAAGAGCACAATATTTGGATGGTTACCAGTTCAATGTCCTTTTGGATGGTTCTCCTGTTTCTTGTGTTATTAATTGAAATATCATCTACTCCTGACAGAATTCTTGTTACAGCAATTTTATGGTTTCGTTTCAACTTTGCACGGAAAATATCCCCTTCTGTCCAAAGTTCTGCCTGTTTGCTATCATAACATGGAAAAAAAGGCCCAAAACACAACAAATTAACACTGAAGGTTGTTAAGTGTACAATAGAAGAAGAAGAAGAAGAAAAAGACATCTAGATCTATTTTTGGCAATAATTTACACTCAATCTACTTACTCCATCAGGAAATGCTGTTGTGGTCCAATCACAGAACCAGGTCTATTTATTCTGATCCAGGCAATAGTTTCAGCAGCTGTCATCCGATAATGTTTCATGATGTAACAGGCAATAAGTGTGCCAGTTCGTCCAAGACCAGCTGTGTAATATAAAAGAATGGCTACTTTTATATATCCATCTTCATCAGGTATCTGTTGTAACTATAGACACTGTTACTTGGACAAGTAGTTACCTGCCTAATTTATCAAAACAAACCTCTACTTATCAAATGTGATAAGGGAAACTTATTCTTTGATCTTTTTCATCACATACAAGGTTACTAACGACTGTCCATATTTTTCTGAGTGAGGTAACTCAAAAAAGTCAGCAACTTTACCAATATCTGTAAGTTTAGATACATTTATTTACCTATCTATGAATATGTATGGAGTTATGAGAATGTTTTTAAGCATGGGATAAAACAGTTGGCCTTTTTTTTTCCTTTCAAAATTCTCCCAGAACTTTCTTGCAAACTAATTATACATTGCACTGAAACCAGATATCCTCCCAGCCCCTCCTCTAACTAATCTCTTTAACTCCCAAGAAAAAGACAAATTTTGCAATAAGCAAGTCAGGGCACTAGCTAGCACAGGCAAAAAATACTCTGGAGAGAGAAACCTTATTAATATGGCCCTCAAAACATTTCTATTTACCTTGGGAAACGTGAGGAGCAAGAGAGAAGTGCTCCAGCTAAGTGACATCTCTCCTTGCTGCACTTGCAAGTTACATCTCTCATTTAAGAATTGACTGATCAACATCACTGTAAAATCTTCTGTATAACACAATAGCCAAGACAATCACACAGCAGCTTCTATGACTTGCTTTAGGAACTTGCTTTAGCTTTCCATGACTTCCATGACAGCTTTAGGAACAGGCTACAGCATTATACACTTCCTCAAGAGTAAGCGCAGGCTAGACACCATTAGTCTGACATCTACCAAAGAACACCTTAATTTGAATGAAAACAGAGCACTTGTGTCACTGATACTGAATATTCTGGCATAACCAATTAAGTGATATGCCTGAATTTATCACCTCAGTGAAGAAAAGAATAAGAGTATGGACTTGTTTTCCCAAAGTCAAGATGTTGGTTTCAACAATTGTTTCACTTTCCAGTATAATTCTGTTAAATGCAGCAAATGGATGGCAGGTACAGGAACAAAACTGCAGTCCTTGCAGGTCCAAAGCAAACAGGTTAAGAAAAGGCCCTTCTCCTTCAATCACAGCATTATCAGATACACTAGTGATGCAAAGTTGTGGAGAAGAAATGTCTGATAGACAATTAAAGACAGTGTGGGAAGGGAAACATACTGCCTCTAGAACCACCAAAAACTGATAACTACGCTAGCTGAATTGGCCAGGCTCTTAAAATCTTCACAGTCTGACTCTGGAGGAATGGATATTCAGAGCATGCCCAAACTAGTATAGAGTTTCTGACGGATGAAGATTTCGGTGATTGTAGAAGAACACTCATATATTTTGAGGAATCTCCCCAAAATGCTGCACTGTTTCCTAAAGTTTATGACTTGGTATATTTAAACACGTATTTTCCGAGAGAATTTGACAAGACTTCAAATGCCTGCCCAAAGCATCCTTTGAAAGTACTTACACTTTCTAGTGGAAAGAGCTATTAATATCAGAAAACTCACTTTCCCCAGTCTCATTTTGGGAATGGTGTGGAAGATTTTTCTGGTACTTAACAAAATTAGAAGATAAAGTGCTGAACAGAATCACAGAAATAATTTGAATGGAACTGTTGTAGTTTGGCAGAGATGCTAATAACTAGATATAGTAGAATTATACTGCAAAATACCTCAGGAACTGCAATTATAAACATAACTAGTAATTTAAACTGGTTTTTGCATCATACCTTTGCAATGAACAGCTATTACACCTTCAGCATTTTCACAAATATTTAGAAATGTTTTAACTATAGTATCACTAGGTGTGCTTCCATCAGCAAAGAAGAGATCAAAATGTTCAAATCCAGCATCTGTAAATCGTTTGGCATCATATAGTTTTTTGTTGAGGCGTATTATAGTGGTGACCTTATTTTGCTTGAAGTATGGGAAATAAGCCTCTGGAGCATGGTGGGGATAGCCTATTTGAGAACAGAAGATTAAAAAAAGAGTAAGGCTTAAACTGAAGAAATTAAAAAATACTAAAAAATAAGATATGAGAACACTTCCAAAATAGAGACAAGATAAAAAATAGACTAACTGAAAATGGAATCTTAACACAATCACCTAGGTCAGATACAATTAAACCAAGCATTAAAATTTTACTGCCAGAGTTCTTATAAAAGGAAAAGAGCCAAGGAAAAAACACACTGTTTGAGGAACAATTTTTAAAGCTTGTTCTTACTGATAACAATCAACTAAGAAAGCAGTGGGCTTGTGTTCCCCACCTCCTTTTTTAAGCATACCATTTTCAATTTTACTTCTTGAATGAGGTCCACTGAAGGCAATGAATTTGTTTGGTATTATCCAGTTAAAATCTCCATTTTCTGCTCTCTGTCAAGAGAAAATGCTTGGTTTATCATTATCCCTGTATTTTCAGGTTTTCCTTATTGTTTCAAAATACATGCTAGATAGAATTTATGTATAATTTTTGTCAAAGGAAGGTGTGTTAGTTGGCTGCTTTCTTTTTCATCATGAGGATGACAGATGCTTTCAACCTCATGTTTTTCCCCTGTGTCCCTGTTTTTCTAAATCAGTTTTAAAACAATGCAACTGATGCCCTTCAGATGAAGAGCAACTTTCAAATTTTCATTTTTCATAGGATTCTAAATTGGTCTTACCTCTGTTCACAAATTTTTTAAGCTCTAGGAGCATTTAATTTTCTCTTTACAGATATCTGGCAGCTTTGCATTTCTGAGACTGCATATAGTCAAGAGTTGCAGTCCTTCATTGTGACAATAATGTCCTATGACCCCAAGTAAATATTATGCACTTGGAGTTTCCCAGCCCAGTTTCCTTCTTTACCTCAAAAAGTGTTATTATATTTTTGCTGTGTTTTGTCAAATGTATACTTTGATTTTTCTCTTGCATTCAGTTAGACTCGGGCTTGTATGCCCTTGAGTTTTTCATCAAGACTGTCCAAGAATATCCAGGGCTTTACTAATAGCAGAGACTCTCATTTTGGTTTCTGCTTTTCCCCATGTTGAGCATAATTATGCTTAAATCTGAATTTTAATATTCTCTCTCTGACCGTGAACATTTATTTAACTATCATAACTTAAAGAGACAAAACAGAAATGGAACTTAATACTACAAAAGAATAGCAGAAATTATAAGCAATTGCTTTAGCATTAGTAACAGCAAACAAATCAAAAGATTGATACTGAACACTTACTTCATAATGCTCATATTCATTTACATCAAATGTACTAAAATCCAGGAAACCATACTGCAAAGCCTAAAATTCAGAACACAGCTCTTAACAAAGACGCCTCTTCAGTGAGGACAGTTTATTACTCTTTTTGGTTACATAAAGTTCTTTAATACACATTCTCCTCTTTCTTCACAAAATTTAAGAATACAGAAAAACTCAGACTTGCTACAAACCAGGTTTGTAAATTTCAATATAAGTGAAGTTCAATAAGTAAATCAACATTTTTTGTTTTCACCAAATCACTATAAAAATCCCAGATTACTGAAGCATTTAGTCTTTTTATTATTGCTAGCTGCACAAAATAAAAAGAAAAATAACCAGAAGAAAATATCTATTGAAGCTATGAGTAGATTCTAAAGACCGCATTCAAAGACTGGAGAAATTTTTTGTGCATAAATTATATATGCTAGTATCTTCACTGATTTCAAATTGTTTGCAGTCACAAAGCCCTAAATAGATATTACTGTGAGTCCATGATGTCCCACAATTAGCCACAACCATAATACTTAACATTGTGTAAAAAATGTAATCATTCGGGTAACTAATAATTTATCCACTTGTTAGAACAGGCAGACAAACACAGATAAATCCCGTATCTCTAGATATTTAAAATACTACTTTCTAATTTTCTCTTTTATTACCTAATCTTTTGTAACTTTCCTTGTTGTTCACCGGCAAGAATACCAATGCACCAGTTTTGGCATACAAATAACCAATTTCAAAATATCCAAAAAAGCGGAAAAATCACCAATCTTCAAGATGATAACTTAACCAGTAAGGACATCACTATTTGGTAGAGATACCCATAAGACAAAAGACAATAGTACAGTGGAGAGCTGCAGAATTCCATTTCACTACTCATACAGACTAAAAATAATGTATTTTGATTCTCCTATCCTTTAATGCTGCATTACTTCACTGCTATATCACTATAAAACCTAGATTTTATAATTTTCTAATTAAAAAAGAAGTACCTACCTCTTAACATTTGTTTCTATTCCTATTACTAAAGCAAAATCTGAAATCATTAACATGTGCTGCAAATGCCAGAAGTGTATAGCAAACTCATTCAAAACCCTTTCAAAGGCCATGTTCAGCCTCATACACCAGGGGCATATAAAACACTTAACATATAGCTCTTAGGATTAGAGGTGAATTATTGTCCTGATAGATTACACAAGTAAAACTCAGAATTCTCTCTATAGTATCTTCAGTTGTTGATTATATAAAGTATTGGTAGACTTCTATGAATGCTGTATCTACTTTTGTGACAATGCATAATGCATAGTAAACTGGGCAACAATCTGCAGATCTGCTACTTCACAGCTCTAATTGGATCCTAGTTTCCTAAGCCTTCTTCTGATGGGCAACTGTTAGCTACTTTTTTGAAATGTGAAAAATATTAGTTTACTGACCTTGTTTATTGCATGAAAACAGTCCAGTAATGTCAAATGAAAGCTGCAAGTACCAAAGGAAGCATCCCTATAAGATACAATGACCCAAACATATTGTATTTTAATCCAAGTGAATGCAATTGAAGATACTTCTCTAAAACACCTTTTAAAAATTACTTCAAGGTAATGATTATTAAACAGAAATAATTATTTAAAATTATTACTTCATTTCCCATACATTGACTCTTAATATAACTTATATAGTTATTCTTGTAACAGATACAACAGTAAGATCACTCCAGCTACAGTTTTTGTAAAGCTGAAATGTTCAATTTCTGACATGGACAGTTAGAATAAACATTTTAGCAAATACAATAAAATATTTTCCTTAAGAAGCATAAATAGGTCATGCTTATACAAGAGGAGAAACTAGTTTCATTAAAACAGCTTCTTTCAATTACAAGTTTTTTAATTCTGTTGATCCAGGAATTGCATGTTCTTAGTATGTGACCATCATCAAATTTCATAAGCACCACAGATTAAGAATTCTAAAGGAATACTCTATTGAAGTAAATAAATAAATTAAACTGAATCTACACCAGAGAACATTATGTCTTGGCAGAACACCTTGAGACCATGCAACACTTATCAGCTAATGTTTCTAAGAAGTAGAAAACATTTCATGCTCAATTTTCAACTGAGAGGAAGAAGAACTTTTGAAGAACCTGGATAGCTGTCTCTAGCATTTTTTTCTATCATTTCCTTCCTTATGAATCAGTGTGAAAAGGGGCAGAAATTAGGAGGAAGCAGAAATAATAGAATTTTTTTTACTCAAGTAAAAGAAAGGACACATAAAGGTGACATTGTAGTAACACGTGTCTCTTAGACCAGCTGATGAGAAGGAACAAATGGATAAAACCTTCTACAGTCAGATAGAAGCAGCCTCACATTCTTAGGCCATGGTCCTCACAGGAAACTGCAACCACTCTGATATGTGTTGGAGGGACAGCATAGTAGGGCACAGGTAATGCAGAAGCTTCCTGGAATGGGCTGATGACTACTTCCCACTTGTCAAATATGTGCAGCAATCTGCAAATACTGTCTTGTGCATAAAGAATGCTATTAAGTATTGCAAGCCCTCTGTGGTGAATGGCAGATATGTTGATATGTGTAGCTATCAGCTACTGGCACAAAATCAGACTGCCAAGGGAGAAGCAATGTAGATGAAAACGCTCAATGAATGGATACAAACAGTGGGGCTCCTTCACCTTCTGAGACACTTCAGTACCAGCTGGTAACAGCTCTGATTCACTGAGTACCTAAAGTTAGGACAGTGACTGTGACCCAAGTAAAAATTTCAACACCAAAAAAAAACCACCAACCAATAAAAAAACAATCCACAAAAAAAATCAAATTAAAAAAACCCAAACAAACAAAAATCCACTCCAAAACACAAAAACAAAATAGAATAAAACCCCAGAAAACCAACACAGTAGAAATTAGTACTGAAAAATGTTACATTCTTCTACAAAATATCAAGGTACATAAAGGTCTATCAACTTGTTATTTACCTGAAAGGAAGATAAGAAACGCTTCCTGACAATATAAGCCTGTACACATCTTCTGGGGATTCTTTCAGATATATTATCTATTTTTGGAAAAAAACAGAAAAGGAAAAGGATTATTTTAAGACAGACTTCAATAATGCCAAGTCATTTGTCTACTATAGAAAGCATAATTAAGTGCTGGAAAAGAGTGGAATTAAGAACAAATGCTTGCAAGTGTGCAACAATAAAATTAACATAAACAATACAAATATTTTCAATCTAAACAAATATATATTTTAAAACAATCTTTATAGATTTGTGCAGGAGTTGTTCAGCTATAGGCTACGGTGAAAAGGCTCCTGTTCATCTGGATTCTTACATTTCTACTACAACTCTGCTTGACCAGTTTGTAGATTTTTTAAAGTAAGCTTTTAAGATATAAATGAAAACATAAAAATCTGCAGAGATATCAGTAAAGCTATGAATCATCTGGCACACAAACTCTCAGTACACAGAGAAGACAAGACTAAAACAGTTATTTATGTATGTTTTGATCTTCCTACATCAGAACATTTGCATTAATCCAAATTCTGTACTTCCTCTTTTGCCCTGCTGGGGCAATATCCAGTAACTAAATCCAGATGACATAAACCAAGAGAAAACAAAATTTAAAGAGAGAAAAAAAAAATAGGAAATCTGTGGCTTCTGAAGCAAAATACTAAGAACATAATGAATTTAACTTTCTACTGTGAAAAACACTCAGAAAAGAATTCACAAAGGACCAACTTACGAGAAATATCCATATGGTCTTCCATCACAATATGTCTGATCCCTCTTGGATAGCCTTTAACACTAAGGTCTCCTTAAAGAATGCCTAAAACTGCTCATTTTGCATATCTCTTCGTCCAATACCATAAAACACCATGCCCAGCTTGGCCAGGAGGTAACAACTGTTAATAACAAGCTGTCATTAACAGGTCAATATTCAGTAATTTCAAGTTAATATTTTTTCCTTGAAATTGCTTTAACACTCTCCAGAAAATTGTGGGTTTTTTCATTAATGTTCAGTAAAATTATTTATTTCTTTTATATTAATGACATTTTCCCTTAGAGATAGTTGAAAGTAAAAATCCTCATGAGTATTAATTAAACATCTTCCAAAAATCTAGGCATGGTTTTTTTCTTTAAAAAGTTGGCATTGCCTTTCAAATTTCTTTCATGCTTCTACAAAGCCAGTTTAAACAAATGATTTAACATACCTTAAACATCCTCTCTCCACACACACATACACAAAAAACAAGAGTTAGAACAGATGTTGCAAAAAAAACCCCAACAAACAAACCCAGCTTGAAACACAACCTAAACAGATAGCTAAAACAGACATGACCAACAGGTGACCCCTTTGATTTTCCTAATTCAATTAGTGTGTTAAGTATTTTCAGAGTATTCTTCCCTTGAAATTGGCAGAAGAAAACAGAAAAATAAATCTTTCTTGAGACATAAGTAAGTAATGAAAACTGCATGTTTTGTGTGTGTGTGTTTTCACTGGGGAGAGATAAGTGACTTCTGCATTCATATTTGCAAGTATACACTCAAAATAGAAAAGATACTTCAAAAGACTCCCCAAGTATCATTGAATTGCTTTATATTCTGCAGGCATTCATTGCCTGATTTGGATGTAAAGGTCATCTTCCAAGAAATTTCAAATTGTGTGTTTTACTACAGTCTTAATTTTCATCTTGCAGGACAGTGAACACATATTGCTAGCAACCGTACACATCAAGCACTTCTTATCAGGAAGAAAGCCCTGTCCCTGAAAAACTTGCAAACCTGAGATAAGAAATGGAATTAAAAACCAGATAGTAATTAGACAGAGTTTGTAGACAGAAATGAGTCACCTGGAAAAAACAGGATTACAGAATCATTTAGGCTGGAAAAGATCTCCAAGATCATTCTAGTCCAACCTTTGCCCAAACATGACCATGTCAACTAGACCGTGGCACTGTGTGCCACATCCAGTTTTTCCTTAAACATCTCATCCACCATCTCCCTGGGCAGCCCATTACAATGTTTAATCAATTCTTCACCCTTCATGTGAAGAAATTCCTCCTAATGTCCCACTGGACTTAAGTGCTATCACACTCTGTAGTATACAGAGTACTAATTGTGCCACAGGCAAACAGAAATGCAATACTATGTGATTTGTAAGCACGTATAAAAGCTCAGCTGAGGTATGAGAGAAATCTTTAGCCTTTTGGAGCTACCAGTTTATTAAAGGAAACAAGACTGAATGCAGAAGCATTTGTTTACAAGTGTAACAGCTGCAAGAGAGAATTTTTTCCCATTTCACTGGGCTGTATTAAAATAAGTTAGTTAGCTCTATCATGTTAGTTCTCAAGCACAGATCCTGCTTCTGAATTTACATTACCAGCGAAATTGCTAGAAACACCTTTCTAACAAACGTGCACATGTGTATGGACTTTTCTTAACACAGCTACATAAGAGCACTTCCTCCATACATGGACATTTAAAAAATCCAATCTGATTTTGGAAAGCAAAAATACAACTTGTATTGTTCAACTGAAACAAAATACAGCATATTTACTGAAGAAGGAAACTTATTCTGAAACAAAGAGAAATCCAGCTACACTCAACTGTGACACTACCACACATACAAAAGACACAACAGGTGAACAGCTGCAGAGACAGCAGTTGATGAAATGGTCAGATGGTGTATTCAGTGAAAAGTGCTTGCAAAAAAATTAGGTTAGTATGAGAATAGATGGATGAGTGCAACAGTATAGAGTGCTTTGAAAGGGAAGAATGACACTCACACATAGTGGGAGAGACCACAAACAGATAATTACTTCACAAGGAAAGTATTTGGCAGTAACACAAGAAACTGTGATAGTCAAAGTGGAGACATGATCAGTTTCTCTCACAGGTTAAGGGAGTACACAGCTAGGAATCCTGGATGTAGCCAAGGCTGGATGAAGGCTGAACATGGGTGGGTTCTGCTTTTAGGTTGGGGTGAACCAAATTCCATGTATGGTAACAGTAAGACTGAAGCAACAAAGCTCAGAGAAGCAACAGATGTCAAGGCACACAGTAGAGGCCACACATCTGCATTAGGAAATGGTCTGCACCAAAAGAATTCCATCAGTAGACAGAGAGCCAGCATTGAAGATCTGACATCTTTACTATATACTTCCAGCAGCTTTTAAACTTAACACCTGGGTTTAGTCATGGCTTGTAGACTGAATATCTGTTAGGACTGCTCCTAAACTGTTCCATGAAGTGAACCAAAATGCAGCAGTTAGAATTTAAGGAAAGACTGAGTTCAAAAAATATTTCTGACACATCTATATCTATATAAAATTGAATATAATACTGTTTCTGACCTGGAGGAGGCCAAGGAAGCCTTAAAGATGAACAATTTCATTGGAATTATGTGATTAAACAAAGGACTAAAGAAAGCAAATAAAAGGAAAGAGAAAGTAGTAGTGATCAAATACCTGTAGCAGACAGAAATGTTGAAAGAGAGAAGGATTTTCGAGAAGAACTGAAGTTTTAGAAAAGAAGAGAATGGAAATGTTGATCTAATGAATAACAAAACAAAGATATATTTGCAAATTAATGAGTTATGTACTGGGAGAAGGAGAGGAAATGAGAGAAGACAAACTCTAGAAATCAAAATATATAACAGCTGAAACTCATTTGTCCAGATGCTGATTACAATTTATGTTTCTGCTGTGCTTTCTAAGAGGATGAAAACTTTCACAAATAAAGTTGTTTTCTTAGGTTAGTGCCAATAAAGCAACCAACAAAAATTACTACTAAAAAGATAAAAGTATTAAAATAAATTTAAAGCAATGATATTAGCTGTTAGTTAACAGAAGCATTCACTCTCTGGGAAAATTTTTATCCTTCTGTGTATATACAAATGAAGAAAAGACTATTAGAATTTTAAAATTATTTCCCAAGAGGACCCTTTCCTGCAGTTAGGGAAATATTTAAAAAAAAGGCCTTCTTTCAAAAAACTTAGTCAATGCAGCATGCATCTTACAAGTTCAGCTCTTAGAATTTTCCTACAGTCATATTCAAGTGCAGATAGGAATATACATACATATCTACACATACACAAATGCAAACAGAAAACTCTAAATATATTTTAAAAATCTTCTACTTAAGTACCTTCCAGGAAAATTGTTACTGTAAGGAATTGATATCTTTCAAGTCAAACATATACTTTTATCACAATCTGCAACCATTTGTATACAGACAATTTAGAAATTTGCTTTTTTTACTTTTTTTTATGCCTACAGAAAATATCCTACTGCACTTCAACATATAGCCAGGAATTTGCTATTAGCAGTTGAACCACTAGCAAAGCTCTAATCATCCTTTTCATTTAGGACATCTGTTTCTAATTAAGGAACTACAGGCACCCCTGTGAATGGTCAAGAACCATCCAAGCACTGAACACTGGGAAAGGTATACTCAAGCACTCCTCCTGCCAACAGTGATGTGCAAACAGCTGCATTCAAGTTCACTCAATGAAATACAAGGGTTTGCAGGATTAGGTGACCCAATCTCTATTTATGAGCATTTAAAATCAACTGAAGAATGAGAGCTTTTAGCAAGCCATGTTTTCATCTGATTTATTAGTGTTTTCAATCCAGCCCTATTTTTCAAGCAGCCATTTCCTAGATTGGAGTTATAATCATTGCAATGATATTCACAATAGGATGCAAAGTATCCCTGGTGGAAAGGGAAATGAGTCTCTGGTTAGAAAAGGCATCTTAACTTTCAATACATGGCATGGACAAGTAAAATAGTAATGCTGCCTATAAGACAAAACATGTTTAGTAATAATAATCTATGACATAACTTGTTGCCTTTCCAGGAAAATTAAATAGGCTATTGAAATAAGCTTTACTGTTAGAAATTATATCAACTCAAGTTTGTAAACAGCACTTTAAATTCATATCTATTATCTGCTCAATACAATCATCAGGTTTATCCACCTGTTCACCCTCAACTGAAAAATCTGCTTAAGGCTGCTACCTAAATGGTACACTCCACCAACTATGCTCACTCA